AAGGGTATTTTAGTTCTATAAATATAACTTATTTTTATATTTTAAGATCCCTTTATTATATTATTATAAGGGTTTTCCTTAGTAGCTTTAAGAACTATCTAATACTATTTTTATTACTTAGGTATATTATATATTTATTATTATAGTATATAGTCTAACTAAGGAGTTTATATTTTAGTTCTTATTTATTAATAGCGTTTAAGTATTTCTTACCTTCTAGGGCTAATACTTAGTAGGTTTTCTTCTCCTTATAAAGTTATCTATATTCTTTAAAGTAATATATAAGTTTCCTATAGTTAAAATACTTTCCTTTACTTTTTTATATTATATTTAGATCTATCCTACTTAGGTTAGTTATATAGGTATAGGTAATAGGAGTTTCGCGCTTCTTTTTATAGTTAGCGCGTTAATTAAAGTTATTCTTATAAGAAAGGTTCTAGTTTCCTTTTCCTTATTTCTTTTCTTAGTATTACGTATACTATTTATCGTTAATTTATACTACTATAGTAATATAGTTTAAGAGGTTATTAAGTCGATTTTCCTTATAAAGCTCGTCCTTAACTTCTTCTTTAAGCTTATTATAAAATTATAATATAAGAGGTTTATTATCTTAATTAAGTTTTAAGGTAACTTAATAGAACTTTATAGTATAATTTAATACTAAGATTGTAAGAAGGTATAAGCAATAAGCGTAGAATCGGGTAATCGATAACGTAAGCGGAAAGATCGGTCGAAGGAGTATAGGGTAGGATTTTGTCCGGAATTTATAACGAGCATATAAGGGGCCGAATAATATATTAAAAGAATAGCGTTGTAAAAGATACATGCGAACTTACTTATTCTATCTACTACTCCTAGGGAAATCCTTCGTCTTTTATAGACCATTGCTCGCCTACTAGTAGACCAATTAGTTATCTTTCTAGCACATTCTATAGTGCTTAAAAAGCTCTATCTATAGTATATCTTCCTAACTTAGTAGGTGGTCTAATTGTAGCGTGATGGTTAACGTAAGACTATAGGTTCTGGCATAAGTAGTGGATTTAACTAGAATGTTCTATGCCCTACCTATTCTCGTATCGCGGATATCTTCGGAACCGCTAGGCCAAAATAGGCAATAAGGTATCCGTTCTGCTCGTAATTAACTTATGCCTTTTATGCATATTTTTGTTTATAAGGATAGGCTTATCCTAACCCGCTTTTCCTAGAGGAAGGTATAGATGTTTAGTAGAGGTCTTTGACTTTTAAGGGTTATTCCCTTAGACTGTATTATAGAGCCTCTTTTTACTAGCTTATTCTATAAAGCCTCCCTATGCCTATTATTTCTTTATAATAGTAGAATAGGAATATAAGGGTATATTCTTATAAAGATCTTTTATTAAAGTTCTTAAAGTTTCTATTTAGCTTTTCGTTCCTTATTAGTTATTTTAAATACTTTTATAATAGCTTCTTTAAATCCTTAGAAACTAGTAAAGACTTTATTTATCTTATTATCTCGTTACGCTAGTTAATTATTAAGAAAATCCCTTATAATAGGTCTAAACTAAGTAAGTACTATTCTAGATAAATAATTTCCTATATAAAGTACCTTTTTAACTAAGTCTAAGAGTTTAGTAGGGTAAAACTAGTAGTAGGCCTTAAGTTAAGTAAGAAAGTCTTAAAGCGTACTATAAGTACTATTAAATAGTCTTAGCTATTTTAGTTTAATTACTTCTCTAAGGTCCCTAACTAATCTATTACCTCCTTTATTCCTAAGTAACTATACTTTATATCGAAGGGTAATAATCTCGCGTATTATATCCTAAGGCGATATAGTAGCTCTAGAGTTAGTTAATCTAGATTCTTATATAGGTATATTAATAGTTACGATATTACTTAGAGTAACGCGGTATTATACTAAATAAAAGCTTTTAATATATAACGACTAGTATTATTCTTAAGGGATAAACCTATTAAGGGGTTTATATTAATAGATATAATAAGGTATAGTCTAAGTAATAATAAGTATATTATATTAGTAATAAGTCGGAGGTTATAGACTATAGACTATAACTAGGTAATTAAAATTAAAGATAGAATTATAATAAAGATCTATATTAAAAGCTAAAGAGCTATCTATTTAAAGGAGTAAAAGTAAGTAGCTATATATACCTATAGAGACTATCTTTAGATTATAGACCTAGCCGTGATCCCCTTTATAGCTTACTATAACTTACTTATAAGCTATACTCCTAAGTAGTAATCTATTTATATAAGGCTTACTTAGCTTATATATACTCTAGGTAAGCTAAGCTTAAGTAGCTTCTTATTCCGACTATTATTCCGAGCTATCTTATTATATAACTATAGCCGGCTCTCCTATGGCCTACTAACCGTAGTCGTAATAATAGATTACTTATTACTTTAACTAAAGAGGAAAAACCTTTCTTTTTATAAGCTTTAGTCTTATAATAAGGAGAATAGAATATATATAGCATAGTACCTCTAGCTATCTTTACTACCTAACTAATTATACTATAATATATATTCCCTTATAAAGAGTATTATAAGGGCTATACTAGAGCTACCTAAGGAAATAGCCTCCTTAGCCTATAGCTTATACTTTAAAGCCTATAAGTATAGGTTTATTCTAGATAGTTATAGTCTTTTAAGACCTCCCTATATAGCTAACGATATACTTATCTATAGTAAGGTATACGCTTAAAGCCTAGAGCTTAAGGCACGCTCGTTATATATAGTTAGACTACTTATTAACCTACTTAAGGGGTAATTTATAGGCTTAGCTAAGGTTAAAGGGTCGGGTATACTATTAAAGAAGCTAGAAGCGGTTATATAGTATAAATTATAGTATTAGGTATATAGGAGCGATACTAAAGGGGCTTTAATAGTTAGTAACTACCTTTTCCTTATATATTCCTATATAAATTAAGGTACTAAGCTATAGGAAGATCTCTTTATATAAGGTTTCTTCCTATACGTTTAATCGTAATTATTCTTACCTTAAGCCGAGCTATTATATCGCACTTATATTTATATAGCTAGCCTATTCCTTTACTAGGGAAATAGGTATAAAGAGCTAGAAAAGCGATAATAGTATAGGTAGCAGTATATAGATCTTAAATTCGCGCTCTAGTATATAAAGGGGCTTAAATTAAGCCCCTTTTTAAGGCTCTAGGGGAAAGTTAGGCCTAACTATGCTATCAGCTGCCTACTCGCGCTAATAGTAGTCTAGCCGTATAAAGAGGGCTTTATCGAAGCTATTTATAATAGCTTAGGAAGGCGTTGACGGCGGTAGGTCTTATTGCGGCTCTATTAGGAATTGCGTAAAGCTTTATAGTAGAAAATTAGCTGCGTAAGGTTTTCCTACTACTACAGCCAACGTGGCCTGTATCTATATTATAGCTACGTACTAAGGGGCCCGTGACCTTAGTGCGGCCTTCGCGCAGCCAAAGGGATAAGAGGTAAGGTTTAGTGCCTAATTAGAGGGCGGCATTTATATAGGGGGGATTTAATAGCGGCGTTTTTATCCCGGGGAAAACTAATAGAACCTTTCGTCACCACGTTCCTCAAGGCATAGGCTCTGCTTGTCTCCACCTCGTACCTGGTAGGTCTGGCCTTTGTCCTATAACACTGGCATTCCTAGCGCATTCAGCTTGTAATGTTGCGCGCCTCGCCCAGCTATATCTTATAAGCCGGGAAATCCCGCTTCAAATCTTCCCTTGACCTCAAGCAGCCAGATGTCACGTCCACTTCGCCTTATGCCCTAAGACGCACAGCCCTAATTCCCGAATCCATCACTTCTGGGGCGCAGACGGTACAAGCCACGCATCACAGCCGGTGGGTAATTACCTGGCCACGCGCAGGGATCACAAACGGAGGAAGTCAGCCGATTATGGGGAGAAAAAAAGCAATTACTCGTCGTTATTCGTCGCCACTACAAACAGGTAATACCTGGTCGGTACAGCCCACTTGGCTCACAAAGGCCGAGTGGGTAAGTTATAGATCCCGCTCATAAGGCTCGTCTAGTCCTATCTTGATGTGCTTGAAGGCTCTAATGCTACGGGGCTGGTACTCCGTATTCGTAGAGTGGACCCATCTTTATTATTAGTCTTCGAACATTGGGGTGCGCTTGTGGCCCTGGCCCTTTGTGTGCATAAACTGGGTCAAGAACCCCTTGGCTCTTTACACGGCTCCTGTGTACGCGTTCAACCTCGGCCTACTTTATTAAATACCATGCTAATTGACTGCTCAACCGTCTTGCCCACTCGCCGAAGACTACCCCCAAACCGCGCCTCCCAGGGGCTCATCATCAGGCGTCAGGAAAAAGCCTCCCTGGCTCATTACTGGTCCGAGCCGTTTCCCCTCTTTCATGCTTGTTGTTATTGTTCTCCACGGAATGCCTAATGCAACCGGCCGTCTAGTTAGGTAGCGTCTAAACCGGACCACCTAAAGACCAAGGTTGTACCCAGTATAACTTATACTTCGTACCGCTGGCACGTGGACGGCATTTGGGCTTGTGGGCCGGCTTCGACAGCATGAAATGGAGCTTGAAATTTTCGTGGAGCCTCCCAGCGGTAGCACTGTTTTCCGTGGCCACCTATCTCCGGTACCCATGCTGGTATTAAAAAGTCAATTTCAACCCTTCAAGAGGCGAGGAATGATGCTGGCTAGTCATTGGCGCCGTGGAACTATGTGGGCTTCCTATAACACTCAACGCGACCTATAATGGCCAGTTCTAATGTTCCCTAACCTCCTCTTCCCCTTCCTCCCCTTCTCTCTCGCTCCTCAACCATCATCACAAACTCGTTCCGTTAGTTCACGTCACTCGTTTTACGCACGTCGCTCCTTATTGTCGTTTGTTACCCTTGCCTCGTCGCAAGCACACTCCTTTTTAATCCCAACCAGAATTCCATTTCGCAAGAAAAGCCTCGAATCACTCAGCTTTCTGTAAAATCTTGACCATCATGTCCTTGTTCAGGACATGCGTGGCGGCCCTCGTCGCCATGCAGGCCGTCGTCGGTCTTGCATCGCCGTCGCAGCCCGCTGACGCTCTCGAGAAACGCTCCGGAGCCTCTTACGTCAACATGGTCTACTGGCCATACTGGTATGATCCCCTCGTCTCGTCTGGCTGCCGAGCCCGCTTTCGGTTTTGCTGATCCGGCGTGTAATCTAGGGCTAACAAGGAGCTGCGGGACGTCGATGCCGCCGACATCTCCCACATTATGTACGCCTTCGGCAAAGTCCTCCCCGATGGCACCGTGTAAGTGTTCGGCCCTTGTACCACCGTGCCCAACCAGTCAAGGGCGATCCAAAATAGCAAAATACTCATGGCTCTCGCAGCGAGCAACGCGAGCCTGTCGCCGACGTTGGTTCTACCACCCAGAGTATGTCCGCCTGGAGGGACCCCCCCGTCTCTGCCTTGAAACGATTTCTCCCTCGATGCAGCATCGTCTAACTCGGATGATAGCCGAAAACGCCGGTGGCAAGTGGGCTCAGCTCTTCCTTTTCAAGCAGGCCAACCCTCATGTCAAGACGGTGCTGTCCATTGGCGGATGGCCTAAGGACGAGGAGAAGGCGTGGTTTGCCTCTGCCGCCAGCACGGTTGAGAGCCGCGAGCGATTTGTCGAAACGGCCACGCAGCTCATGCTCGACGGCGGCTTCGACGGCCTCGACATCGACTGGGAGTACCCAGTGGGGGCCAAGGAAAGCAAGGACCACGCAGAGCTTCTCAAGGCCCTTCGGCAGAAGCTCGACGGGCTCAAGGAGTCCTACAGCGGCTATCACTTCCTCCTTACCCTAGCGACCTCGGCCAGCTCCTGGTGGCATAGTCACCTGTCCTTTGATGACCTCATCCCCGTCCTCGACTTCTGGTACATCATGGCGTATGACTATACCGGCTCATGGGGAGATGTGCTTCTACATAATGCCAACCTCTTCCGGAGCAAGAAAAACCCCAACGGCACCCAAATGTCCACCGACGAAGGCATTGAAGCGCTTAAAACCAAGGGCATCTCTGCCAGTAAGATGGTTCTTGGCCTCCCGTCCTACGCTCAAGTCTTTCGCGACCTTTTGCAGCCAGGAGACAAGAAGACGACGAGGAATTTCGTCGCGTCCGAGTCGCTCAAGGACATGAAGCTCGACGAGTTCGACATAACATGCGACGACGAAGCCGTAGCCTGCATTGGCTACAACAAGGCGACGAAGCAGCTCGCCAGCTTTGATAACACACAGACTATTGCCACCAAGGCACAATACGTCAAGGACAAGGGCCTTGCCGGCACCTTTATGTGGGATGTCAACCATGACCTGCCCGGCAAGAATGCGCTGTATGTCGCTGCCGCCAAGGCGCTCGGCCAGCTTGATCGTAGCCGTAGCTGTCAGGAATACCCAGACTCGCGCTACGCCAACATCAGGGGTCAGGCCAAGCCCAAGACGACGGCGTCCACCACGACAGCGTCCACTTCCAAGGCCTCTTCTGCTACTTCAAAGCAGATGACCACGTCCACGGCTCCGAACTCGAGTTCCGCTCGCATCCTGACCTCCAGCAGCTCTGCCTTGGCCAGCTCGGGCAATCAATGGGGCAACAAGACTACGCCTGCGCTCCCTCGGCTGTCGTCATCGTCGTCATCGGTCGTCCCGACTAGCTCGCTCATGGCTTCATCGGCTTCGTCGGCTTCGTCGGCTTCGGACGAGACCGTCTCTTCCTCCGCCTCCTCCGGCACTCAGTCGAGCCACGCTGCCACCCGGACCAGCGTCACCGTTCCGTGCGCGCTTTGCAACCTTCCCGATTACATGATCCCGGCCATCAACGCCGACGGCATGGTCGTCAAGACCGTCTTCGTAATCGTCATCAAGCAGATCACCGTCGCGTGCCCCGACAAGGCTGCCTGCGCTGGCCCCTCGGCCGTAACCCTCACCCAGTCCGTCTTCACCACCGTCTGCCCCATCGACGCTAGCCCGGCGACCCCGACTGTCGACGTGGCTCCGGATGCCGGCGTTGAGCCCATCTCTGTGTCCGTGGCTGGCCGCGTCGTCGCCATGTGCGCGACGGAGCTCGGCTGCCACGCTACTGACGCCGCTCCTACTTCTGGTCCGGGCAGGACCGATTCTCGCTCCGGCAAGGCCCATTCCAGCGGCCCCAACGGACACCTTCCCGGCGGCTCCGACGGACAAACCTCCGACAAGCTTGCAGAACCCGCCCGGGTCGATATCCAGGCCAAGGTCGACGTCCAAGCCAAGGTCAATGGCCAGTCTGGTGCGAGCGGTGCCGGCAAAGAGGGTGAGCACAACCACCAGAAACACCCTGGCTCGCAGCCCCCCGTGGGCGGCTCTGCCTCCGGTGCTGGACGCCTCTCTGGCTCCAAGCCGACCCTCAGCTGCACCCCCAGGCCCAGCCACCCTGTGTCGGCCCAGGCCAGCTCTGAAGCCGCCCTGCGCGTTTCGCCCCAGTCCAACCCGGAAGCCGGGCACGGCGTCTCGGCTCAGGCTGACTTGGAGGTCAACTACCGCGTTTCGCCCCACTCCAACCCGGAAGCCGGGCACGGCGTCTCGGCTCAGGCTGACTCGGAGGTCAACTACCGCGTTTCGCCCCACTCCAACCCGGAAGCCGGGCACGGCGTCTCGGCTCAGGCTGACTCGGAGGTCAACTACCGCGTTTCGCCCCACTCCAACCCGGAAGCCGGGCACGGCGTCTCGGCTCAGGCTGACTCGGAGGCCAACTACCGCGTTTCGCCCCAGTCAAATCCTGGAGCTGGCCACCGATCTTCGACTAACGCTGAAGCCAATCACCGCGTCCCGGCCCAGTCAAATCCTGAAGTCAACCATGGCGTCTCACTCATGGTCGACTCTGAAGCCGCCCAGCGCGTTTCGCCCCAGCCCCACCCTGAAGCCGCCAACCGCGCTTCCACCCAGTCCAGCCCCGTCGCCGGCGCAGAGTCTATCCATCGGCTCCCGAACAGCGCAAACACCACGGCCATCCAGCGCGTCGCTTCGGCGGCCGCTCCCTCGGGCGCCCTCCCCGTCGACGGCCAGGCCAAGGCTGTCCTGACTGCCGGTGCCGCACAGACTTTTGTCAGCGCCTGGGCTGCGTTGGCCGTCTTTGCCATGCTTTTCTAGACTCCTTTCTAGTCTCGGTCCTATAGTCTTGCCAGTTGTCGATATACCTAAGCTTGAAAGCGTGTAATTTCAATTCCCCTTGCAGGCGACACATTTGGACGAATTGGATCTCTGGGTTATCTTGTCGAGAAGAAGGTCCGAACGAGTTGAGGTCTCTAGGTCTGTCTAGGTAGATCGCTATAATAATCCTCTTTTATTTGCAGCAATGGCGCAGTGGGGTACGTTACCTAATACGGATTAGATATAGGGAGGATAATACGGGCACAGAGGACACCTAAGGGGGGGGGGGGTCGATGTGGATGGCCTCGGTACCTCGTACGCTACTATTAACCACCGGGCTTCTGGATTCGGAAAGTAGCGTCCCCACGTGCCCGTTAGGAAGTGGTCGCGGACGGCTAGTTCCGCTAATGGAGATCTAGGGCATCGTGATAGCTCTGTAGGTAGCTATAGCCTATGTAGACGGCTATACCTCTATAGCATCTGGACATCTTCTTTACCAATTTCGCTACTAAGCCGCCTTTAGCTTCGTCTCTTAAAGCTATACATATCTCCCGCCAAGTCTACTATTTATTGCAACAGGGATAATGCATGTGTTAACGGCGGCTCATTGAAGTTACATAGCCAGTTTAAGGTTCCCGCGTTCCGACTCGGATCTACTATATACATGCTTTGCCGATTTTATGCGAGCTCAAGTACATTTAATGCCATTTTTCCTATGATAAGTACTCGGCGCACCACTTCTTTCAGTCCAGGCTGCCTTTCCTCTGGGTTTTTTCCCCCTTCGTCTAGTCACCTCGATCTTCTCGTTGTCAGGGGAGCTGCATTTCTCTGGCATGACTGACTGAGACATTTCTAAAGAGAAGACCAGTTGAACCTAATAAAGCCAGAGAGCGATCCAGTTCTCCAAGGTACCCAAGGGCCATGCCCCAAGGTGATGATGTCAGGGACGCTCAGGTTGGGGTCAGGGACGCCCAGCTTGAAGACTTGCATTCCTGCGAGGCGCTCTGGCCCCAGTGCAAGACATATATACCGTGCACCGTGGCAAGTGGGCAACAGCGGCAAGCTATATACAGCCGGCTCGAGCGGCAGCTGTTTCGTACTTCTTCCTATATGAGCTGCTAATATGATTCGTACAGCCATCTAGGATCATTGAATACGACAACACGAAAACGGTAAATATTTTGACTCGAGAGATGCTGCCTATTCCGGTTTGACAACATCTCCTTAGGACTGTCGTCGGTAATGGGCTTGAAGATGGTTGAGCAACATGTAACCCGGCCATGCATAATTGAACCCCACGGCGCTGTCTTGTCGTACGCGACAGGGCAGTACAAAGGCCGCCGCCTACCCGCCGCATTACGATCTGGCGTAGACAACTTGAAGTGCTCAACTGCACTTCCTTTCATCACTGAGCGTGGATTTGCCTCCTGCTTTCTTGAACGTCGACCTTGTTCCGGCCATGCGATTTCTGAGCCTCGTGCCGAGCGCTTTGAGTGCCTTGGCTCTCACGTCCAGCGCCTTTGCAGAGCCTGTTGCTCTTGGGAACGACACCGGCGCTTCATCAATTGCGCCAAACACACGAGGGCTGTTTTTGAAGGAGCTTCTTTCCAGGTCATCCCACTATGGCGATTTTCGAAGAAATAGGACGTCGTCCGGAGTCTCGAATTTTAAAGTTGGTATCATCGGTGGCGGACTTGCAGGCCTTTACGCTGCAGTTCTCCTAGATAGTCTCGACATCGACTACGAGATTCTAGATTCGACCCAGCGCATCGGAGGGCGGGTATACACTCACCGATTTGACGAAAAGAGGTGGAACGCTTCGAAGCCAGGACAGCCTGATTATTACGACTACTATGTTCGTTGTTACAATGCTTTACTCATGCTGTGGGTCGCTAATAATAGAGCAGGACGTCGGAGCCATGAGGTTTCCAGGGCTGGCTTGGATGGATCGAATCATCGGAAAGGCCAACAATTCTTTAATTCCTTACATTAACTCTAAGCTCAAGCCGGAAGAGCAGCCTATAAAGCTGATCCCTTATATATTCACCGCCAACAACACATTCCGCTTGTTCAATAGCAAATTGGTCTATGGCCAAGTTATCCCTTCAGCTAAGACCTTCAAGGTCCCATCTCGGGAGGCGGAACTATTAACAACGACACATTCTCCACCCTGTCGCCCAATACCGTAATGCTTAATACCTATTGCGGGCGTTGGATGCAGACTTTCACGGAGGCTTCAACACACTACTGCAGCACGATAAACTCTCCGTGAGAGAGTATTTGGTCACGAAGGGCTTCTCGGCCGAGCAGATCAACTGGCTCGAGACAATCACTGACGCCACCTCGCATTTCGACACCATGTCTCTGACACAAGCTGTCATTGAACTGTGGATCTTCAACAAAGCTCCCATCGATAGCTGGCTTTGCGTTGAAGGTGGCATGGACCGCGTTACCTACGGAATGGCCAGCATCATCAAGAAGCCGGTTGAGGTCGGGAAACGCGCGACGGCCATCAAGCCAGCTCCCAACGGTGGCTTAAAGGTTGCCATTGAGGGCTGCAAGGACAAGGTGTACGATCATGTCATCAATACCGTACCCTTGGGCGCCATGCAAGCTATGGACATGACTGAGCTAGATCTCGATTACCGCAAGAAGGCCGCCATCCGGGAACTCCAGTACGATCCTGCCGGGAAAATCGGCATGAAGTTCAAATCTCGATGGTTCGTACCAGATGCAGGCACCCCTCCCCTAGATGCAATCGGCTCACTCTGTCTCAACGTATAGGTGGGAGGAGCTTGACTCCGGCTCCTTCCAGGGCGGGCAATCCTATTCCGACCTCCCCATCCGCCGCTGCGTCTACCCGTCATACGGTGTTGACACCCACGGAGCAGCCGGGACCATGATCGCCTCCTATACCTGGGGCCAAGACAGTGCTCGCCTGAGCTCCTACTACGGCAAAGTAGAGGGGCGTAAAAGAATCGTCGAAATGACCCTCCGCAACCTCGCAGTTATGCATAACGTCACCTATGAGTTCCTGAAGTCGCAGTATGTCGACTCGCATATCTGGAACTGGTACGATGGCGAAGACGCGGTGGGCGCGTTCGCCCTCTTCGGCCCCGATGAGTTTAGCACTGTTATGCCGGCATTGCTGATGCCGGCCGCCAACGGAGCACTACATTTCGCCGGCGAGGCACTGAGCGCTGGGCATGCTTGGATGATTGGGGCTACCGACTCGGCATATAGGACGGTGGCGGAGATACTCGCGGCTGAGGGGATGGACGATAAGTTAGTCCAGTTGGTGAATTTGTGGGGTACGGTTGACGAGGTGGACATGAGCTGGTATTCAAATGCTTTCGCGGGAGAATAAGGGCTCACTGAAGGGGTGCTTGTGACTCGGGAGACACGAGTTGAGCGTATCTCATGTATATGTGCGAGACCAAGGGATGTGGCTTGCTTGGGGAAGGGTACGTGCATATAGTGGCAAGCGTAAATAATTTGTCGTCACTCTCATGGTCATCGAAACGTTGGGTGGTAATGCAATCGGTGTTCATCGTTCTTGAATACATCTTTGGGCGATCATTCGGGCATCTGTCTAATTAAAATATACTAATAGAGTCTTAGGACTCTATTCCTAACTTAAAATATAGTAGAAATTTTAGCTAGCATAGCTCTAGCCCGGGCCCTAGCACTAGGAGGTAGGAGAGAAACAGGAAAAAAAAGTTTGCTCCCGGGGAGGCTCGAACTCACGACCTTTGGATTACTCAAGCTTTATAGCTCGATCATAGAAATCTATGAGACCAACGCTCTAGCCAACTGAGCTACGGAAGCAGGCTTGTTGGTGGTTCGGGCTGATTTAAGAAATACTATATTGTTCTGTAGTAAAGATAAGGAGTTTAGTGTTAGAAGATTTACTTGATTTTACTAAGAGTTGTCAGGGATCGTACGCCGTGTATTTGGAAAGGCCCCAATAAAGGCACTAGCTGGCCAGGCTGGTATTCTCCACGTCTTCCCTCCTGGTAAGACCGAAACTGAGTCGTCTCCCCTTCAGCCCAGAGCGGGGTCGAGGCGCGTCGTACCCAAATGCCGTTAAGCCGTATACGGCCCTACCGGGGCCTGCTAATATTCCCGCAGCTCGGCGAACCTCGGCTCCTCCCTTCTGTAGCCACTTGAATTCGCGCGCCTTGGAACCCTCGCGCCAACGTGCTGGTAAAGCTCATCTGCACCAGAACGATCCCTTGCTGTCGGCGCTTTCCCTGTCGCCGTAGTCGGAGATGCTACCGATCCGTCACACCCCGACCGCCCAAGCCATCCCAGTCCAGGGAGCAGTATACATAGACCAAGGGACGCGCCGGAACTCGCGTCGTAGGCACTTGCTGCTAGCAACACTCTTTATTGTTCTCGGCCGAAATATCATTCGACCATGAGAAAGGCAAACAGCTCCGATCTTGCTTATACTGTAAAGTCTGCCATCCGATTTTCCTGTTGGTGCTGGAGATCTACGGGAAACCGTCGCGTCGAAGCGGTCGTCCCAGTCGACTAGCCTTCCAAGCTCTGGTGGCCGCCAGGTCAACTACTGCGGTCATACAAGATGCTCTTTACTAGGCGGCAGAGACTGGTTAGCAGGTGCACCAGCCATCATCAGACATTGAGCGATTTGATTCCTATAATCCTAAGCAAATTCTCTTCGCCACGCCGCCTGTCGTGATTTTTATGTCCTCCTACTGCCCTCCCTAATATACAACGTGAAGCAGGGCATGCGTAAATTCAAGTGGTACGATACGCCTCCAATGGTATAATGCATGACTTCATCCCACGCACAGCACACCGTGTACGCGCTGGCTGGCTCCCCTTTCCTTTCAGGAGTGGTAAAAAGCAGTTGCTCCTTCTCCGGCGCTCACGACGCGTCCTGTCCCGGAGGAGCCTGGAAAGGCGGAGGGGGAGGGGGTGGAGGAGGGGCTTCGGGCCGCTGTCCCTCTGGCGGCGGCGGCGGCGGCGGCGGCGCAATCGGCCGTCCTCCGTCGACAATGATTTGCTCGTCCAAGCGTCCCGTCAGGTCGCCGTACTCGACTCTCTTCCACGTCGTGATGCGAGCATTGTTGGTGTCCACCTCAAAGACGCGCACCCGCCGAACGTAGTCACCATACCCGGCGTACCCACCAAAGCCCACGCCGCCGGCGTAGCACATCCAAAGCGCGGGCGTCAGCGGCTGGTTCTTCTTTGGGTCCCGGTCGCCCGACAGGGAGAGGGAGCAATAGTCATTGCAGTGGTCGCTGTTGAAGGCCCAAGTTAGCACGTAGTCTGTATGGCATTTGACTTGGCCGTCCGGCGGCAGATGCAATGAAGAGGCCATTGGCCCTGTGGGGAGACGTACTGTCCGGCGCTGACCATGACAACACCCTCCTCGACGAGGGCATTGCGGAAGCCAGAGTTGAACATGGGGGCGGTGACGCCTTCTCTCCACTGTCCGACACGGGGGAGTTGCCAGTCGGCATACTCGGTGAGCGGGATGTGGATGAAGGCCATATCCATGTGCTGATGCGTGTACTCTCCATGCTTCTTCTTCAAGCTCGCCGCCGTGCGCTTGAACCATTCAATCTGGTTGGGCTTGACCCAGTCGTAGCCGGGAAACTTTTTATCGTCGGGAGAATAGGCGTGTGTGTCGAGTAAGTAGATGGTCAAGGCCGAGTGGTCCGAGCTGCCACGCGCCAAGATCTCGACGTAATAATTTCCAACGCCGTCGACCGCGGCGGGCCCGGCCGTGGAGAGGGAGTAGGGTAGCGTCTCCATCAGAGACATTTGCCGGGCTCGAGACATGGTCTTTTCGTCATCGTGATTTCCAAATATGCCAACGTAGGGAATCTTGTGCTTGGTTAGTATCGACGCGTACTTGAAGATGGCCTGCGAGGATGTCGTTAGTGCCGGCATTCCACCAAGAAAGAGGGGGGGGGTTAAGTGGAGTCAAAGCAAGAGAAAAGAAAAGGGGATCGAACCGTCGGCGCGTCGGGAGCTGAGCCGCCATTGACCTGATCGCCGCTCAGTACCACAAAGTCGGGCTTCTCCTCGTCGAGCATCTTGTTGACGAAATCAAGCGTTCTCGGGTCCGCCTCACATTTCCCGTCAGCGTAGGCGTCCGGGATCGGCTCTCGACACTCGCCTACGCCGTTGCTCAGATGTAGGTCGGCAATCTGCAAAATCTTGAACCGTCCGTTGTCCGGTATCCGCGGCTTGGGTTTCTTGGCCTCGGTGACGCTTCCCCGGTGTACGGAGAGATGAACGCTGAGAAGAGCGCCTCCCGTGTCGAGCAGCAACGGCGTGCCCACTATGGCCCAGCCTTGTCGCGCCTCGACGGCATCGTCGCCAAAGAGCACGTCGACGTTTGTGACGACGTCCTTGGAGTCGCTCGACTTCTTCTTCTTGGACCGCCTGATCCACAGCCCGCCGGGCCGGGATTCCCACCGTCCAATATCGTTGGGCTCGTTCTGGACACTGGGGTCGAGTCGGCCGACCGTCATGTCCATGACAACGCTGTCGTCGTCCGTCAGATCCTCCTCATGTTTGCGTCTAACGTAGATGTAGGCGCTCGAGGTCCAAGCCCTGCCGAGATAGAGCTCCTTGTCGATGCGATGCCACAGGTTGGGGTCGAGGTCGCAGGAAGAAAAGAAGTTAACGCTGGAGCAGGTGACGAGGGTGATGTCGGTGACGACGAGGCCGGGGTGGTGGGTCGGCATGTACCCATGGATGGCACTGGGCAGCACTCGGTAGTTGCGGTCGAGGAGGAAGATGACAAACAAGGTAAAGGCGAGGGCGGTGCAGAGCTGGGTCAAAGTGCGAACCTAGTCGAATCAGCCATCGATATTCAGAGCGGGAAAGGAGGAGGCTGGAGAAGAGACAGAGTCGTGGAGAATGAGGGGAAAAGGGATTGGAGCTTACGATTCGTCGTGTCATCTTGGACCGTCGGCCCGAGGGCGAGCAAACGTTGGATAGAGTGGTTTGGAGGCGCTGTGCGAGGGGGACAAGGTAGGGTTTATGACGGACGTCTCTGCCCTCAGGGTCGCGCGCTTGGCCGGCGCGCTAGTCCATGGTGAAGAGTATGGTCGTTGGCCTTTGGGGTTGTCGGGGGGCCAAGGGAGCCGATGATGTTGGCCAGGGGCGATTGCTGCTAGTTGGAAGCGATGGCTGGACGATGATGGAAAGAGATGAGTCGTGGACCCGGACTTTGGAGGCGGCAGACGCGCCAGAGACATCTGGAGTGCTAGAGCATGGGGTAAAGTACTCTTGGGTAGGTGGGTACTTGCGCGGAGTCGCCCAGTTTGTGCTGGGATAGAGTACTCCAAGAGCCCAAGGTACTTGGTGAGCTGACGAAATGCGCTGCTCCGCACCTCATAGTTGCAGCACGGTGGCCGTGCGAGGCACAGCAAAGACTGCCGTTTGAAAACGGCTGGAAACGTTGACTCCGTACCGTATGTCGGTGTGCTCATATTTTTTTTCATTGCGTGGGCGCATACCTGAGCAATGGTTTCGATGTCGCTTGTGGATCATTGTTTAGTGGGTAGTAAATGTATATGTATTGTGGACAGGTAGATGCCGGCGGCGAGAGATGGAGCCCGATGAGCTTCGGCGGAGCGAAGCCTACCTTGCGCAAGCTACATACGAGCTTCAGTACGCAGGCAAACAGAGGTATGTACAGTGCCATCCTCTTCTCTGTGTTTTTATCTTTCGGAGAATAAGTCATGCTCTAGGTGTAGCACAATACCGGTAGGGCGACTGTGGCACCACTCTCTCTCCTGCTCACGATTCGCGACGAATGCTGCATTCCCAGATTTGAGTTTAGAAGAGCGAGAGGCCAGAGAGGTTTCCCTCTCTGTTGAATCCTCTGTTGAATCCTCTCTGTTAGGCCCCTATCTTTCTTTGTGCCTTGCTGGGTAGGTACTAGTACTACCGAGTGCAAGAACAATGAAGTCGGTGGCCAGGTCTTTTGCAGCATGTGTTTACAGTACAAAGGGCAGTGAGCTCAGCATGGTGCGCCCTTGAGGTACTTGTCAGGTACCCACACCAGCACCGACCCGACCGTTTTTCCCTTTTCATCACCACGCGCGCGCCATCATCACAGCGCCATCCGCGAGCTGCTCCCTCCGCCTCTCCTTCTTTTCGCACCTTCATCCTCCGTGCCTCTTTACCTCCCGCTCCTCCGGCACTCCTCCTGACCTCCGTACTAACGATCCACGCCTTTTCGCCATCCCGCGATAGATGAATCTGCGCCCTTGATTCAACCGCACCGTCTCGCAGTTTGCGCGCGCACGCACCTTGTTTTGGCGCTGCCCATCTGCACCTCGCGCAGGTCCAGCCCAACGCGAGCCTCGACGAGCGCAACAGATAAGCCCTCGCAGTCATGGCCGAGTATTCCACCCTCAAGGTTCCGGAGCTCAAGAAGCTTCTGGCCGACAAGAAACTCCCCCAGACTGGCAACAAGGCCGACTTGATCGCCCGCCTGCAGGACGACGACGTCAAAAACGCCAAATCCCCAGGGGCTGCCGCGCCCAGTAAGCACCCTTTTCCTGGCCAAGCTTTCCGCGCCTTGGTCTCGTTGAGGCGCGCCGCCTTTGCCTGCCTCTGCAGCGCCCAGCTAATCCCTTCGCCACCAGCTCTCGCCCAGCTAGACAAAGAGGACGAGATCGACTATACTGACGACGAGGACATCACTCCGCTGCCTGCAACTACTCCTGCCACCGCGCCCAAGCCCGTCGAGGTCAAACAGTCCGAGCCGCAGGACAAGAAGCAGCAGGTGCCCGCTGCCGTGCCCGCCGCCCAGGAGTCTGTCGCCCAAGGTGAGGAGCCCAAGGACGAGACGGCCCCTGTTGAGTCGGCGCAATCCTTCGCCATGGGTCTTTCCAAGACTGCCGCCGATGCTGAGGCCAAGAAACGCGCCGACCGGGCCAAGCGCTTTGGCATCGACGAGGACGAGGACGCAAAAAGGCGCGCCGAACGCGCCAAGCGCTTCGGCATCGACGAAAACGAGCTTGCTTCGGGCCTTGACTCTGCCCTACCCGAAAAATCGCTCAAGCGCGGCCGTGGTCGTGGGGGAGAGGACGATACGCGCGCCGGCAAGCGCCAGAATGTCGACCGGCGTGGCGACCGACAAGGACGCAACGGGCGCAACGCACGCGCCCCTCGACAGGCCGGCAACAAAGGCCCGCCCAAGAGGACCGGCCTCATGGACGATCCCTCGGAGAGAGCCAAGGCGGAGAAACGAGCGGCCAGGTTTGCCACGGCCTAGGCTCGGCTCTATGGCGGGTGAGTGACGGTCTCGACACGTTGGGTGCTTACTGAAGAAGGAATCTCGGACTTTGCTTGTACTCTACTCGGATCGGAATAGCTGCAGGGGACATGGCGTTGGAGAGGCAGAAACCAGGCCGGCCGGAAGCAAGCCAGGGGGTAGCGACAATGCCAGCCTAATTATTCTCTTGTTTTGTGGCCATTTCTCAGCAACGACGAACCCCGTGGAAGTCACGAAACCAACTGACAGACTGTGCTTTCTCCCAGATTTGTCGTGTGCCGCTGGCCGGCATCGCTGCATGGCGCCTTGCAGAGGACGACCGACCGAGACAGACTCGCCGTAAGACGGACATTCGGGTTTCCAGTCCGTTTTTTTTTTCGATTACGGTCTCGGGAATCATGGTCTCGCTCGTCTATCGCGGCTCGGCCGGAGCCTGCCTGCGGCAACGCGATGCTGCTGCGCCTTCCCAAGTCATGTTGCCTTGCATGGCTGCCTTGGAAGGGCATGGCTGCCTTGGGAGGAGCGAGGGGGGTTCGTGAGAAAGTTCCCCGGGTTGGGGAGGAGAGAGCTGGATCGTGAGGACTGGTGGCCCGACAGCCCCCATCGAAACGGGCTTTCTTTCTTTTTCTTTACTCTTACACCCCTTTCCGCTGTCCTACCCCCCTTCCCCCCCTCTCTCTCTTCCGTTGACCCGCTCTCTTTTCACTTCAAACACCCCAGAGTGCCGTCTCGACATTCTGAAAGAGAGGGAAAGATGCTCAGTGTATCAGGTGATGGGTGGGGGCTGGGGAAAGCGGAACCACGGAAGTCAGTCTGCAGGGAGGAGGAGACTTGGAACACAACGTCGAGAACGAGTCTTTGCTCTGCGACAGCGCGTTAGGGGACGATGGGCTCCAGGGCCTGGCATTGGCGCAGGCCGTCTGTTCTATTTAGGTCGCGGCTATCCCCCCCTTGCTCGTCGCATTAGGGGCGCCCGTTGATGCAATCAGCGGTCTTGCTCGCGTCTCGCTAAGCCAACCAAGCAAATCAGGTGAAGTGAGAGGCCTATCGTCCCCATCGGCAGTGACAGGCGCCACGGATTGTCTGTCTGTCTACGGAGGACTATCAACCAAGACCCGTGCCCGTATTACCGTAGCGCATAACCGCATACACATACACACCCCCTCTCCTTGACGCGCACGCCAAGAGGCCGCGTTGTCCTAAGCTAAAGTACGCAAGGCCGACCTATCGTTTGGCCCCTGTGCTCTCGGGAAAAATGGCGCTGCGGCCGTTGTGGTCGCCTTCGCCGGCGCGCTTGCTGGGCAGGAGTACACCAATGATTGGCGGTAAGTGGGCAGTCGGCTGGGAATCCTTATTTTACTCGTAGCTGCGCAGGCGGCTGGGGCGGCGACTGGGGCGCGAGGGTCGTGGGGACGTCTTCCTCGTCAACTTGGGCGTCATCGTCGCTGTCGTCAACCTGGCTTGTTCTAGAGACAAGGTGGCTTCTTGCCCCATGCTAGAGCCGTCCCGGTGTCCTTGTTTTACGGGAGTGCTAGCGGCCGCGGCCATGGCCAAGGGCAAAGGTAAGGAGGCCGCGTGGGAGTATGGCGGATTTTTCTTTTGGGGAGACTCTGACACCTCGTGTATTCCGTACTCTGCAGCTTTTCCTTCCTGGCTCCCTGTCTCACTCGGTTTGTTCCATTTGTTCCATTTGTTTTGTTTCGTTTTATTTCCTTCTTACCTGATGTTATCTGCTGCAGAGTGCTTATCAATGTGAGTGCCGGGCAGAAGGGCATTTGCCGCGTCGTTCACCGCCAAAGCGATTGCGAGCAGGAAAACGAGACATGGGTGTCGTTTTGGCTCCATCATGCCAACCTCGCAGCCAAAGCTGTGAGCACTCGTCATCTTCCCCGTCATGGCATAGGCGACCAGGTCCCTCGTCAAGCATCTTGGTCGCCCCGGGGTTGATTCCCGGATCTGGCACCGGCCGATGCGGTGATTCGGCGGCCATCTGCCGTGAGACTTGACCTGCCGCCCTTGCGTGATGCCGTGCTGGGCTGGCAGCTGGATACGTTAGCCACACCGGCAGTGGTCCGCGGACGCCCGGCGACTCCAGCCACGCGTGATGTGCCACGTCGCCAATCCAGCTCGGCCCGCCTCGGACCCACTCTCCCGCGTGTGGCGGAGCTCGTTGCTAACAGTCCTGGCTGCCTCCGGCCTTCCGATGCTCGGATTCGACTCTGCGCCGGGTCACACAGGCGGGTTGAGGTTCCTTGAGCTGCAGCTTTCAGCTGTCATTGCACTGCTGGCCCATATTCGCACTGCCGGTTCGGCTCTTCTTCCCCCTGTTTGCGCCACGGGCCCTCTGGCTGCCGCCATGCTGGAGACCGGTCGACGTCAGCGCAGTAACCGTTTACCAGTAATGTTTGAGCGCCAGAGTTTCCCATTTACCGGTAACTCCCTTGTTTCGTTTTTCGTCTTCTTCCAATACAGTCATTTGCCTCCGTGCTCATCGTGCATTCGCCTGGACTCGGGCACATTCAGTGGCCGACGTATGGCGAGGCTTCTTGGACAGTTCAGCCGCTCAATTGTGTCATGTGGTAGACCTGGGTCGCCCGGTCTACTAGCGAAACAAACATTAGCTTGATAACACACCAGAGAGGAAGAGGGTTGGCACGCGGACGAATCCTCATGTGCTGCTCATCCCATAGAGGTAAGCACTTGCAGCAAGGAGAGACATGCAGGCAGAGAGGGTTGGGTGCGTCGAGTCCATATACTGTACTCGAAGACGTGTGAATATCTCGGGGCAATAATGCTCAGTATGGATTATACCGCTAATGTCTTAGCACATCACTGCCGGCCACCGTCTCTCATTGGCGGCAAATGGAGAGCAAGTCAGCCTGTTAGGAGGTAGAGAACAAGGGTCACTCTCCTTAGCCGAAGGAGCTTCAACGAATGGGAAGTGGAAGAAAGGCGTCTCGCGTGAGGCACGTGGGTGTCTCGTCCGTCGTAGAGACAAGAAGTGGACGAGGGTCTGTGGAGACAAAGGGGGGCTGGGGTCTGAACTTCCAGAATGTCTTGGTGGATCGGCAAAGGCTCGGCCAACCAACGCTGGCAAGGGCCATGGCTGGGCTTTGTTCTCGGAGCTGAGCGTCTGGGACCAGGACGGTCTTGCAGGACTAGTCCCACGAGGCGCACCCATGGCACAAGCTGCCGTTGCGGCGGAGCTTGAATTTTCTTCTGACTCCCGCGCGATCTAGCCCGCAAGCAGTAGAAGCTCCGACTCTGCGCACAAATGAGGCGTGTTGTCGCTGCAGAACGTCACACGGTTGGCAGGCTGGCAGAGGAAGCAGACGAGGTAGATGAGATGGCACGGCCAGCGAGGGCATCGCGCGGCCTCGATGACGCCAGGTTGCAATTCTCGGCAGCTTTCTGGCGCGTGACACGACGGCACGACGAGTTTGATTCGAACCATGGCGTCTGGAGAGGCAGTCGTCCAATGCCACACCACCAAGGACAAGCGCCGGGGCGGCAGGGTTCCAAGCCTGGTCTAAGACAATCATCAGAGACATGCGCCTCCCAGATCGTCCTGTCGGAGCCAGTGGAGTGAGACATGCAGAAGCGCCGCCCAAGATAGAGAGACGCTGTCCATTTTGCAGAGCGTAGTGGGTGCGAGTCGATCGAGGGGATTTCTGGTCGAAGGATTGGGAGAAACAAGGCCGACTCGCTTCAGGAGACCCAACATGGGTTGTTGCATGCATAACAAGACGAAATGATGCTTACATGCATAGTGGGCACCTCGAGTCTGTACAGTACATTCAGTACAAGGATACGAGCGAGAGTGCGGGGTGAGGGCGTCAAGAGGCAAGAGGCAAAATCAACTCCTCGATGCTGTGCAGCAGGCAGCAATATGGGAGGGAGAAAAGCCTCGTCGACCAACAAGCCGCCCTCGGCCTATTTCCCCTGCGGGCCGTTCAAGGCTTAGGTCCCCATTTGCGCCGTCAGTCCGAACGTCGCACCACTCACCGTCGTCGACCCTCCACCACCCCGAACCCTTGCAGGACCCTGGCCTTGTCTCACGGGCTGTCTACTGTGCGATACCGACAGTCGCCGCTCCAAGTCCCCCCGCCTGCCTAGACATCCACACATCGTCACCGACGGCTGTCCCTTCGCGGCCCTCGCCACTGCAAGACAGCCAGTCAAAGCATCATGTCCCCATCCATCGTCGCTTTCGTCTGGCTTAGCAGAAAACCCGGCACTAGGGCACCTTTGCACCATGTGGCTGCAAAGTCGCCCCCCTGCACAGGGCTTGACGCCCAATCGTAACCTCATCTTGCGTCTCGTCACCTCTCACTGGACGCTTCTATCTGCACCTTGCAGGCACTTTTCTCGACGCCCATGGCAGTGCACTGCATTTGCTCTTGCGGATTTCAATGGCAGCGGCAATGTCTTCTCTTCGGCTCCACAGCAAGCACCGGCTAAGCAGCCCTTGACTCGTCCTCGCTGCCTCCTCACCCTGCCCAGCTCCCACAATTAATAAAGCTGGAAAATACAGTGCAAACATGTCATCTTGGGCCCTTGCTTTGAACTGCCTGGGCCGCTGAGCCTTTTCAAGCTTCATGACCTTAAGGGTCTGCTTGTCCACACCTGCCCTCTTCCCAATGACCTACATCTTTGTGGCAACAACCATCACACTGCTTCTCCTTCACAGGTCATTGTGCTGATTCTCGCTTTCATTGCCTCAACCGAGCAGGCCGCCCACGTCGAGGCCATCAATCCTTGTCAGCAGGCGCCAATGCTGCATTTGACGTGGCATGTTGCCATACACCCACACCCTACTAGCCCCCCCCCCTGGTGGTGGCCGCATCTTGAGTCTGCAGTCGTTGTCACCTCGAGCCAGCCTTGGACCAGGGCCGCAAAAGCCGGGATTTAACAGGACATGTCCACTCGACCTTTTGACCTGGCCCTTCACCACCTAACTACTGCTTCTGTATAACCTCTTTGCAGCTTGCACACAAGTCTTCTATTCTATCCCCTCTCTCTTATCCCAGTGACCTTTTCCAGCCCACCTAATTTGTAATACCATCCTTCAGCTCACTCACGTAAACGCCACCGACGAGCAATCGCTTTCCCAGCCCGGTGCTGCCCAGTACACTGCGCAGCTTGCCGCTTCGTCCCCGATTCGAGCAGATCTGGTTCGGTTTGACTGTTCATCTGATTTGTGCGCTCGCCGACTCGACGAAACTGCCGATCCAGAGCCCGAGCATCACATTGCTTTCACCTGCTTGGTCAAACGATGGGCTGGTCGGGGAACGTGAAGGCATGTTGAAAGCGCTGGACGCATTTGATCAGATCGGATGAGCATGGCGTCTCTCAGAATGGGTTATGGGCTCCCGTCCAGTCCATCAGAAGGGATTCGGTCACTGAGAATGGACCCAACACGAGGCCGGCCCGGCATGCCGAGAACGAACAGTGTGGCACCGAGGGAAATGGTGACACCGAGGGAAATGGTGACACCGAGAACAGCCAATACTCAGCACTCACCACCGCCGCAGCCGCAACCGTCCGATAGGATTCCTCGAGCCTTATCGACGCGGCGCACTGGGCTCCCTAGGCCTCCTCCAAGGTTGCCTTCGGATTCCCCGTCCAATCCATGTGGTTTAGCGAGCAGACCCTTGGGCGATCACACTCGGAGTCCGTCGTCGTCTTCATCAGGGCTATCTCATCATGCCGGCCGCAACCCCGTCCCATCGCCCTTGAGAAACAACGGGTCTTCCCTTTCCCGCGATACGGCAAGCTTATCAAAGGACCCTATCCACCGGAGCTCTTCATTAGCAAGACGCGAATTGCAAGGCCCGCTCGAGTCAGGCACAAGCACCCAGTATGTCCGGAACGTGAATCGGAGCCCGTCTTTCGCCCGAGTTGCGGAAGGGGGGGAAATTCGCCGGCCTGCGATGCAGCCTCCCGTCATATATCCGGAACTGGATCGCTACCAAAAGCTGCAGCAACCTGGGCGCTCGGTTGACCGGCACGACGTCGATGTGCTCCACCGCTTGGCAACCCACGACCTCTCGCCGCCAACCCCGGCTTCCATCTTATTCTCAGGGAGTAGCAGTCAGGTGAGCGCCAGCCCCTCGACAAGGCTCTCCGAATCCCCAGGGCCAGGCCCGTATAGCCGTGACACGACTCCGACCTCTACGTCCTCTCAGTCCCCCATCCTCACTGCACCGAGCCGAATCATAGCCACGACAAGGGATCAGCAAAATGGCTCTGCTTCGACCAGGCCGCCTGTTACCCGGAGAGGGCCTGGGAATATACCGAGCGAAGACGATGCGACGACCAGCGCCAATCCCCATGGCCTCGCCCCCGTACGTGAGTCCATAGCCTCTTCCTCGTCAAGCTCAACGGTCCGCGACGGCGACAAGAACGTCAAGAGAGATAGGAAAGCGGATAGACAGCCATCCCCACTGTCGCCGAACCCCATGCCGGGCAAATCGTCTCAAGATTCCCCGAGGCGCAAGGACAGGATCGCCATGCCCCTCCCCGCGCCTCGAGAGATGCGCAAAACGAGCCCGGCGAATCGTTCCCTTCCCAGGGCCGAAGACACTTCCCCATCAAAGACGCCTTCGTCGCCAAGGACCGGGCCGCCTCTTAGGCCAAGCCGGGACGGCACCCAGAATATGCCCTCACAGTTCTCGAAAGCCACTCATGTTATACACAGCAATATCTCTTCGTTACCAAAGCCCTTTGAGAGGCGGGTCAGTGAGCCTGTAGCTTCCAGGTCGCTGCCTGTATCATCGACGTCGCTGCATCAAGCCAGGAGGAACGCATCTACCCCACAACTCCCCGTTTTACGACAGGCATCATCAAAGACTGCAAGCCCCGGAGCTCCCGCGGAGCCAAGACGAGTAAACTCCAATGAATCTTCTCGATCCAACCAGACTTTAAGCAAGGCTAGCTCTTCCTTTACCACTCGATTTCCCTTCTTCGGCCGCAAGAAGGCAACCCCGGAAAGCCTCAAGGACGACAAAAGCGAGCACTCTCCGCAGAGAAAACTCGGCCGCAAAGGGCCGGTAGCTGGCACAGGCCACGAGGGATACGGAAGGTTCGGCGCCGGCCGCAGACGAAGCAGCAGTGGCTCCAGCATGAGCAGAGGGTTGGCTGAGTCCCAGCCCTCGGAGTCCAGCTACGCTGGCAGCGACTCCTTCCTCGCGGATCGCGTCCAGCCCGTTGTCATCGCTGGCGGCGAGGTGGTCGAAAACAAGAATGCCACTGCTGACCTCGGCTCACTGGAGAGTGAAACGCCCCTAGCCCATCGCCGCCCTGGCGTGCACCAAAGGACTGCTCCCGAACATTCTCCCCTCGCTATTAAAGCACAACGGACGACCCTCTGGCCATCCCCGATATCCTCCGATGCGCGAGTTCCTCTCAACTCTGCGCATCTACGTGGAGGCAGCGGCATAGACGCCGTTATGGCAAAACCAACAATCGCCTTCCGTCGCTCGGTGCAGCGACTGAGGTTGTCTGCCGACAACCCCTTGAGGCTACCCCAGCCCATCATCACAGACACCCGGGCTTCAGCATCGCCGCCAATGACTAGCATAGACGCAAGCATCGCTTCTGAGGGTTCTCGCCTCCAGCTGCGTAAAGAGAGCTCGCGCGGATCCAACGACTCCTACCTGACAGCCAAGAACCCTCAAAAGAGAGCGCGCACCTCTCGCAAATGGAACCTGTTTGGTCGTTCCCATAGCCGGCCAAATACCAAGGGCGACGGTGAGGAGGTGCAAGCTACCGTCATTGCTGTCGAGAAGAAACGCGTGGCTTTTTACGCCATGATGGACTCTGCGGAACAGGCCGATGCTAAGCCTACGAGTTTCGTCGAGAACCTGCTCGAGCATCGTCCGTTGGAGATGCCACAACCTACCACAATGGCTAGGTCTCAGCCTCCATCTGCCGGCACGCATGACGCCTGGAACGAAGCAGTCCCCCTCACGAGCCGATCTCAGGTCCCGGGCCCCACGCCGAGCTCAGGCAAGCGTGGTAGGCTGCCTCAGGTCGGCCGGATACCGCACGTTGTTTCCCGTCGCCCCGACAATATTTCTCCGCAAACCTTCTCGCGTCCCTTCCGAAATAGCCTGCAGGCTTCTCCCAGAATCACCTTGGACGTCTACGACCCGGAGTCTATCGCGACGGGTCCCACCCCGCCGAAGCCCTCCACACCCGTGTTAGGTTGGACCACGGAAGAGCCTGCTGCCGACAGCGAGATCAACTCCTCTTCATATCGAGACTCCATCTCCAAGCTCTCTTCGGAGGTAACGCGGGGCGAGCGAGAGTTTCTTGCCTTTCCCTCTCGAAAGTCTTCGGTCAAAACAGTAGACACGAGCTCCAGCAGCTCCCGGGATATCTGTATCCTGGCCGATGCGACTGCCGTCATCCCCAAAGCTCATGACCCGCCAGACGAGGATGAGATTTGGGACGAGTACAACGATCTCCTCGACGAAGACAGTGGCAGGATGCTCTCAACACCCATGACTCTAGGAGTTGGACCGCTTCGGCTCAAACGTCACCACAGCAGGTCGATCAAGGCATCTTCCGTCCAGTCTGCCGTGGTTCCAGGAGACTGGCGCAAAGCGTCGACGCATTCAAAAGCGCCCACTCACTCGACCTCTGGTAGTGCCGACATGACGGAGAGGATTCGGAGGGCATTCCAGCCACATCCCAATCAGACAGCGGTTGTACGAGCGTCGGACGGAGAGTCGAGCCTCGACAAACAGAGACACGATGCTCTCCCGGCCAATGTGCATATTTCCGGGTCGAACAGAAACAGCTCGGCGTCGGGCAAGACTATTTTCACGGATTGTAGTGCAATTTCATCTGATGAAGAATCACCCCTGGCACAAGTCAACCTGCGAGTCGGGTCCATGACTGTAAGCAAATGGCTCTCTTTTGGGCACGTCTTGTTCAGCGACATTCGACACGAGCTAGATCTCGCCAAGGACCCCCCCAAGAAACATTCCATTTTGGTCATCGATGGCCTCGGCAACGACGATTGGTCGTTTTACGCCGCCGAGACATATCCAACGGCTTCTTTCTACAACCTGTCTCCGCGCGCGGCACTGCCAGCCGAAATGCGGAGTTCTCCGTCCAGTTTTCCTCTCAGCCCCCCCAATCACCACCAGGTACAGTACACATCTCACCTCGATAAGTTCCCCTTTGCAGCGCAAAGCTTCAACGGCCTGGTGTATCGCTTCCCCGTTGCCGCTCCGGAGTCGCACTACCGCAACATTATCAACGAAGCTCGCCGCGTCCTCCGACCTGGCGGCTACATCGAGCTCTCTGTGTTGGACGTTGACCTCAACAGCATGGGCAACCGAGGGAGGCGGACAGTCCGGTGCCTGAAGGAGCAAATCCACGACGAGGCTGCCGAGATCAACCTGGCCTCAACTGCGGACTTGATCCTGCGCCTGCTCGGCAAGGCCGGCTTCTCGAGCATCAGGGCTGCACGTGTCGGCGTCCCCGTGGCGAGCTCGATTACCCGCTCCAACGTTCACAAAACGGAGCGCAAGGATAAGTCAACATCGAGCTTGGCGGATATGATGCGGGACAAGAGCCCCATGGCGGACGAGAGCATCACCAAGCTCGTAGCAAGAGTTGGCCGCTGGTGGTACACGCGGTGCTACGAGAGTGCCACGGGCACCGAGACGGACAGGAGCATCTGGGCCAACAAGGCTCTACTTTCCGAGTGTGAGGAGCTGGGAACGAGTTTGAAGCTCATGGTGTGCTGCGCACGCGCGCCCAACCGAGTCCCCAGTTTCTAGGGTATACAATCCCCGATCCCGACATCCCGGCTCTCATATATAGAAAAGGTTGTTTTCCCTTAAGTCGCCTTCGGTGACGCGCCGGCTTCGGATTTCTTTTGAGCACCAAAGACATGAGGCGCGAGCCTGCGTTCGGAAACGTTGCCGGCAATGCTTGGACAGTCACTGACAAAATGACGAACTGAGCTGGGCGTGGACGAAGACACAAGCCACGCTCGTCAGTCTACTTTTTTACTTCAAGTTTATTATTACAGTTTCATCGCCAAGATGATGAGCTCGCGCTCCTCGAACGGTTTCCAAGTTGCATATTTGGTTCATGGAGGCAAGAAGCGACTGATATTAGCCGCCGGACGGCAGAAGACATGTTTAGGCGCCTTTTTTTCTCGATTTTTGCATTAGCTCGGATCACTGGAGCTTTCTTATTTCTGGTTCTTGGGACCGCTATTGAAGGTTGTCTCGCGTTGCTGTCCTTGCTGCATACTGGTGTTGAACAAAGAAGGCGGATAGCAAGCTGTGCGTGGATGACGGAGCATGAGTGATGATTGAATGGGCAAGGAAACGTGGCCGCAGCGTGTTTATGAGAGATACCCATATTCTTAATTCTGGATTTTAGGAAATAGACAGCAAGCATGATGATTAATGCGCAGTCGCCTGGAAGCAGACTTGCCAAGTCCATGCATCCATCACGTTGCTTCACTTGTACGTAAATGCCAGTCTTTCTTTAGGAAGCAGGTCGGAGCTTTGATGTATTATTTGTTGAGTGTTTGGGCGATTTCCTGTTTAGGCAAGTAGACGGGCGAGGCTTGTGGGGCCGGGGCGGGAGTTGCCGGTGCACCAGCCCCGCCGTTTCCGGTGCGTAATGTACAACCTACGGGCGACGAGATGTAGTCCATGTCACCGATTGATACATCTAGAACGCCAGCCTATATATTCAAGGCTCGGCTTCACTCAATCCTCCTTCGTTCCCCCCTTCATCGGCCATGGACGCAGCGGGTGTCCCTCCGACCGGCCACCGGCGGAACACGGCGACGAATCCGCCCCCGCCGATGCGATCGCCGACCTTGGGACGCAACACCTGCACCATTTTCTCCGATCCGGCCTGCTGGACTCTAGGAAAAGTCATCCGGACGTCCCATTGCCTGCCACCGGCAGAGTCGTTGAGGCCGTCGGTCGTTGTCGTAACGGGTAACTCGAGCACCTTCTCGAGCCGCAGGGGTTGGTTGGTTTGCCTGTTCCATGCCTCAAATTCGGCAATCTGGCTGATGGACGGCTGGAAGACGATGAGAAGGCCGTTGGGGTGCAGAGCCTGAACGACGCGCTCTGCGTTGTCCTGTGCCCCGGGGAGGTCCAGCACCGCGCGAGACAGGAACGGCTGGCCAGCGGAGTGGGCGAGGCGCTCCGATATGTAGGCGTCGATGGAGCCGGCGTGGAAGTCTATGGACGGGAGGTAGAGAGCACGGCGAAAGTCGCGCACGAGCCGGAAGGCGGCGTTGAGGTGCTTGAGTTTATTGTCGAGAGTGTGGAGAATGGCGCGGCGCGAGGCGGCGTAGGCGTCAAGAGCGACTTGATCGTCGGGAGAGAGGACGGGGCGAGCATGGCAGGCAAAGCGGTCGGATGCGACGCTGGCGATGCAGAGGGCATGACGGAGGGAGGAGGGCACGGGAGGATTGGCGGCATGAATGGCGCGGGCCAGGTGCAGGGTCAAGCTGCCCATGCCGGTACCGGCCTCGAAGATCTCGATGGGCGGTGCATGCTCGTCGTCGTCCTCGCCCGGGCGGCAAGGGTTCAGATCGAGCAGGGAGACGATGGTGTTTGCATCGTGGGGGTATATGGGGGTGGCGGGGCGCTCGCCTGGCTGGTTGACGACGTAGCTGGCGAGCGAGGGCTCGTGCAAAACGACCTTGTGGCCGCGGCTGTCTTGGACAACGTCGAGGAAGTTGCGGCCGATGAGGTCGGCGGCGGGGACGGAGGAGCCGTATGAGAGCTTGACGAGGGAGTCGGCTCGGATGGGCGCGGTGAGGTGCCACTTGGGGTGCTTGGCGCCTTGTTGGCGGAGGAGGAGGACGTCGTGCTCTGGAGGAGGCACGAGATGGGGAGGAAGAGCGGACTGGAGTCAGTCGAGGTGGTGCGAGAGAGAGAGAGGCTAAATGGTACCCTTGACGGTTCGGTTCGACGACAGTGATCGAAGGCCCCGGGCAGCGGCCAGCAGGCGGCTGGAGCTGGGCCGCCGGATCATGGTCGTGGTCGGGCTGGAGGCAAGTTGGCTCAATGGTCTTTTTCCTCGAGAGTGGGTGGTTGATTCCTTTTTTCGGGGGGGGACGTATCGGGAGATGTTCGGGTATTTCTTCCTCTTGCGCTGGGCTGGACTGTGTGTGTGAGCAGGTGCGCAATTCGTCCATAATGCTGTCTTTACTTGGCAACACATCATAACTGGGGCTTGACAAGCTGTCTGTCGTCGATTGCATACGGCTCTTGCACGGATCCTCGTTCCTTCTTTGCACTGTCGCTTTGGGCGGTCCCGGACTGCTTCGTAAAGGAACCCAGCATCGGCCAGGGAGCTTTCGCTTGCCTATCTCTTTTTCTTGTCTTTTTTTTTTCTATCCCTTTGATGTATATGTTTTTTGGTGAATAATTGTCTGCTGGGGTATCTGAATCGCCGCCTCGCGGGCCAAAGGCACAACAAGGAAGTTGCCCTGCCTGGCTGCTCCTTCTGTAGAACGCCGCGGGAGTCCTCAGGCAGCCACAGGCACTCGTCTGCCCCCTGCTGTGATTTTTGTCTTTTTGCTTCTGCCAGGCTCTTCTCCGTCTTTCGTCATCTTTCATCGTCAGGGTCGTGAAAACATCGCCGTTCCCTTGCCTCTCTTGCGCCCGGTATCTTGCTGCAGATAATCCCGTCCCGCTATTGTTACAAGCCCAACAACTCCCCTCAAATCGCCCCAAAACGCCGGCCCAATGGATTCGCAGCATGACCAACGTTCAATCAATGCTTGGGGAAAGCCCCAGCCATCGGTCCATAATTATGCACCCGTCAACGATGTGCCAGACTCCGGCCGCCGCATGGCATGGTTTGGACAAATATGGAACGCAGACGGCAAACAAGGGGGCCGCCTGGCGCTCACGTCCCTTTCCTGCCCTCGAAACCCTTTCCCACCTCCATCGTGGTCTGCCGGCCTCGATGTTGCGCGCTTCTTCCGCCACTGTCAGCTCGGCAAGACGCAGGCTGTCGCGACGCCCGTTCTGTGCTTTTCCAGGGGCCAACAACGCCCATGGCCCGAACCGACGACACGGCTTGACCCGTCAGGAGCTTCCGCTCAGATATATGCCCATTTAGCCGCCTGCATATGGTCGAGGGCCGCTGACCATGCTTCCTGAGAGTCGGGCGCATGCACCGTCGTGTGGAAGTCCTCCTCAAAGTAGGGGAGGACCTTGACTCCCACGTGCTCCTCCATAATGGCCACTCCCGAGTCGTATCGCCGCCGACACCGCTTCGTCCACGGGTCCACCTTGAGGAGGCTGTGGTAGCAGTACACGTTGGGCTTGGCGTCGCGTACCGAAAACACGACGCCCAGGCCCCTCACATGATTCCACAACTCCACGGCCGCCTGCTTGGTCGGCTCCGACTGCGGCCCCGCTGCGTACAGAAGCTGAAGGATCGAGTACCGCAAGCTGAGCACCTCGACGCTGTTGGCTCCGTGCCGCTGCTCCAGCTGCCGCTCCTGGTCCCGGAGCTCGTCAACGAGCTTGCCCAGCCGCTCCGGGTGGATGTGGTTGTAGAAGAGGGCCAGGTCGATCCACGCCCGCGCCACGTACGGGTGCCGCCGGCTGTATATGGCCTCGAGCTCCTCGGCAATGGTCGGGATGCTGCCCCAGAGCAGGTCCGACAGCGTCCCGGGCCCGTGCTTCTGCTGAACCTCGTACAGACAGGTGAAGATCTGCCGCAGGGGGTGCGACCGTTCCAAGTTGGTCGTCGAGTATGCCGCGAGGTATTTGCAGAGGGCCGTCATCATCCCCGGATCTCGCTGCACCATGCCCAGCAGCAGTTCATTGATGCCCACTGGGGACAGTTTCCTGAGATCAACCTCGAGCTGCTTAAACGCCCGCATGAGGAAATGTCCCCCTTGGTCAGCGTCTCGCGCCTCGAAGTAAAAGTTGGCCTCCATCAGCAAGTCGCTCGACCCGGCGCCCCAAACCATCGTCGTCGACCAACCAACCTGTGTGTCAGTTTCCACCTCGACTTGCCGACAGTGCAGGAAAGCCTTTCTCATGTTCCCAACGACAAGCTCCTGCGCTCGCACGAGGTCGGGCGATCGCAGATACTCCGGTGCAGGAGGGGGCGTCGGCGTCCGGCACTTGACGTGAGCTGGCAGGTCGGCCGGTAGCTCAAAGTCGATCAGGTCGTACTCGGTCACGCCTTTTCTCTTCAGATAGGTTCCCAGATTCACCACTCTCCCGTTGCGCACAAACTCGGAAACCTTGCCCTCGGCATCGCGCTGAAACTTCATGGAAAGGAGCCTCTTGACCTCATCCTCGGTGTTGTTCTTGACGAAGCCCCACTGGGAAAACCGCGTCTTGTACATCTTTGGCCTGCAGTTGACGATATTAGACTGAAGCGCCAGCAGCGGGGGGGTGCCTGGGTGGGAACTTACGTTGCCTGAAAGTTGTACTTTTCGGCCATGACGTTCATGACCTCCTTGAGTGGTCTCCGCTCATCCAGGTAAAGTGCTCGAATTGTCGACTTGAACTGCTCCCAGGCCTCGGCAGGCACCTGTTCCCGCGACGGGCGAGTCCCGGCGGCATGAGCACGGAGAGAGACCGACCCTTGCCTTTGGGCCTGCTTCTGCGAATGAGATGGGCACCAGCTCACACTTCTGGGAAAACAACAGGCACTACTCACCGGCAGGGCGGTAATCGATGGTGATAGCTGGCTTGCGTGGGGTGTCGCTGGTTCCTGCTTGATCTCGGGACTAAAAGGAGGAGGCACGGATGGCTGAGGGGCTCGCAGCCTTGGAGGCTTGGCTGGGGCTTTGCCTTTGACTTTGGCGCTAGGGTTGAACTCGAGGATGAACTGGTTTCCGGAAGCGTTGACGTTCGGTTTGGGCCTGTTGGGCACGGGGGGCTTGCCGTAATTGCCCGCGGGGAGAGCAGAGGACGTGGACTGCGGCGCCTCCGACTTGACGCTCACAGATCCCGGCGGGCGCCAGATTTCGAAGCCAGGAGTTCCCGATGTCGGCGGCGATGGCTGGGCCGGGGACACGACTGCCGATGGGCTGACCATGGGAGACGAGGCGCCCTGAGATAATGACAAGGAGGGTCCTGCCGAGCTTTGAACGCGGTTTCCGGAGACGAAATCGTCCAGGACCCCAAACTGCCCTGTTAGCTGGCCTGCTCCGGAATTGGAGCCTCGGGAAGCATCCTGAAGGCCAAAGGAGTTGGTGGCCACGGGGCTCGTCATGCGCGACTGCAAGCCAAAGACCCCCCAATGGGTTTCGCCCGGACTCTGGGCGGGAGTCACAATTCGGTTCGGGTTGAAGGACGACGCGAGGCCGGGGCCGTTTCCAAAGTATCCCAGGTTGTCGAATTGAGCCCGGGGAATGGATTGCTGCGTCTGGGCGCCATGAGCAGGTCTGGGGGGAAGGGGAGGCGCATAGCCCTTGTTCTCAAAGGGCACGAAGCCCTTGTTCTCGAAATGCGCCACCAGACGGCCGACGCCGCCTCCGGTTTGAACGGGGCTCAGGGAGTTCAGTTCGACGTCGTTTCCCCCGTGGCCGTCATGGTGATAGCCCGAGGGCACCTCTGATGAAGTGGGCGTCCAGTCCATGCCGGACGACGAGTTGAATGATTCAAGGGCTGCATGATGGGAGTGCGAAGGGTCGACCGATGACGACACGGCCTGGTTGAGGTCGAAGCGCGCCCAGGGCTGGGGAGAGAAGGCATAGGGGTCGCTGGCATAGGCCGAGGCATGAGGCCTGCTTGTGGGATGATTAAACATGGCGACGAGGCGCCGAGAAGCGAGGCCTCGTGGGCAGGCAGGCAGTTAGTCAGTTGGCGAGACTCGAGCGAGTCGAGAACCCCGGCCGGATGCTCATTCACCGACACAAGGACTCATCACTCGTGGCAGTGTCTGGATGGGTGTGTGGCCAGGAGTCGGGACGGAGACGATGGGACGGCCAGGCGGGCAAAAGTGCCCATAATCGCCGTTACGAATAGCCAAGTGATTGGTGTGCAACTAAAGGAAGGGGGAGAGAGCCAATGCAAAGGGAAAGGGGCAGACGTCGATAACGGTGCGGCCAGGATGGACTGCGAAGGTGTGCAAGGCCTCTCTCGATAAGGCAGGCTGGGCTGGGGAGGCAAAGAGAGTTGTTTCCTCGCTACCCGCGCACAACGGCTGTGGAGAGCAAAGCCACAGACGGTAGAGAGAGAGAGAGGGTGAGGGTGAGCAAAAGTTCCTCGCCTAAGTATCCTGGAAGGGAAAGCCAATAGCCTGGCCGGAGAGAACCTGGGAGGGGGGCGGTGGGCGGCTCTACGACAGTACAACTGCTGGCAGTTCACAGCTCCTGCAAGAAGCGCACAGCAAGCGCACCGAGGGACAAAAACCTTTCACGGACGGCAGAGTGGAGAGAATTGGGGGAGCCAGCCTGTGAGGGGAGGAGACTGGGGGGGGGGGATGTAACCTAATGCGGGCTGGGCTGCCATTGCGACCGATGCTGGCAAAGCAAGATGGTGAGGAGGAGCTGGAGTGCTGGACCGGCTCTGAAGAGCGAGAGAGAGAGAGAGAGAGAGAGAGAGAGAGTGTGTGTGTGTGTGTGAGTGAGAGGAGGGGGGGACGGCATGTGTGGGAATGCAACCATGGACCTGAAAGAGAAGGTGATATTTTGGAACCCGAGGCACCACACGCGAGGCCAAGAGACCAATCAGGACGGCATGACGGGCCCCCCCTGGCGGACCTGGGGCCGGGGACAGGCCCCGGGCATTCCACACAGCAACGGAGGGTCCTGAGAGGCTCGCTGGTGGGCGCCGGTAGCGATTCCAGAAGGATTCTTGCCGTCATGATTCGCCGGCGCGACGGAGCGAGAGATGCGGCCGGCGTGGCCGGGAGGCTTTGGGGCGTCACTGCCAAGCACCGATGAGAGGCACGGACAGGAGATGGCATCCATACAGAGCACTGATGACGATGCTAGCACGAGGGTCCAGACGAGGTGAGTCTTGTCGTGGATGACGTCCGGAGACGAAGCCCGAGAGCAGCCTGGATTGGGCAAAACGGCCCGCTGGCTGGAGCCACAATTGGCTCTGGTGCCTCGGGTAAAACCGCATCAGGCGACTTTTTCTCACTCCTTTGGCCCGCGCTACTCGGTGCGGTAATGTCAATACTAACTTTGGGGCAAGGTAGGATGAGCATCTCATGTTTTGATCCAAGAGGTCAAGGTTGCCAAGGCGAGCTGTCGCTCGGGCCGTTCCTCCTCTGGTGCCGAAGCTCTCACTCGCCCACATGCACATGACATGGCCAGCCAGTGTTCCAGAAGGGGCCACGGCCGAGGGCTGAAGCTGAAGCCTGCCGTAGGACGACGACGGCGAGACGAAGGGGGAGGGGAAGGGGGGAGGGCAAAGAAGAGGGGGGCATCAGCGAATCGCCAAGGCCTGATGACATGGGCGCCGACCGACGACGACGGAGACCCAGCACGTAGGTAGCAGGTATTAACACCGCCGCTGTACATGGGTAGATACAGTGCTGTCTTGCATGTGCCGGTATACATGCTCGGTATCTCCCTCTTTTCCATCCTTTCTATCTTTTTTAGCCTTTTTTCCCCTTGACCCTTCCGCTTGGCATGGGCGGAAGCGGAACGTGTCTTCCGAGGCAACGCTCGGCATCCCGACATTTTATGATGTGATTGCTGTTGCTGTTTTTTCTCCGGAGACGAGGAAGCGTTCGTCTATGCTGTCGGGGGTTTTTCTGCACAGACAAGGATACAGGCGTGGGTGTGTGGGTGTGTGGGTGTGTATGTGTGTGTAACTATGTGTGTGTATGTGTATGTGTCTGTGTGTGTGTGTGTCTATGTGTCTATGTGTGTGTGTATAAATAGGTATTATGTAAGTAGGTACTGTAGGTAGGCAGGGAGGGACGAGGGGAGCCGGGTCTGCATGGCTGTACGTAGGGATCCGCGATGCACGTTATTTGGCACACACAAAACAGCCCTGTGCGAAGTCATCTAGTGTGGCTCTTGCACGGCACGGCAACGGTAATTTGCAAGCTCGTCCAGTCATCAGCAAGTGCGTGTGCGACATGGAGGGGGATAGATTCGGGGTCCTGGGTGTGGAGAAGACAGTTGACAGTTGACGGCGGGCGAAGATGCTGCTCTGGGGCATCGCGCCCGCTGCCTGGCGGCACGCCCAGACAATACTGTACACTGTACATACGTCCGGGAGCGGCATGTCTGTACGGTACGGTACGGGACAGCAGAGGAAGAGAGTGTGTGTAGCATCGGAGAGCTGACTTGAGACCCCGTCTCGGCGGGGCTGGCTGTATGGCTGGGCTACGGAAAGGCGAGAGGGGAGGGCAGGGGGGAGGCAAGGAAACGTAAATAGACGGGGCTGGCCGAAGGCTCGCATGGGCGGACGGAGCAGCAGCGCACGGCGGGGGGGGGGCAATGCCGGTACTGAGCTGGGCTGAGCCGTGAGTGTTATGTATGTGTTGTAATTATGTGAGTATTTGTAAGTGTATGTGTACAGTATGTACGGATATGTATGTAAGACGTGGACGGCAGCTGGCTGGGTTGTGCCCTGGGTTGTGCCCTGGGTTGTGCCTGACGGCAAATGGCATGGCCAAGGCGAGCAGCGGACGGTGCTGTAGGTAATAAACCTTATACGCGGCTGCGGACATGGCAGTGATGGAGGGTGTGGTGGAAGGTGTCCTCCCCTCGGATGGATGCCTCGTGGCGGGAGCACCGGGCGAGGCGAGGCACGGCGGCCCGTCGGCACGTGATGTCGAGGCGGCGGCCGTTGTTGCTCACCAGCCACGACCTGATACTTCCATCTCTTTCTCCTTCTCTCCTTTTCTATTCCTGCCCTCGGTTTCTGTCCATCAGTCTTGTCGCCCATCTCTCTTCCCTCTACGCGCCCCCTCTTCGATAACACCGTTCCGCCCCTTGTCCCCCGCCCGTCCATCCCCCCGTCCATCCCCCCGTCCATACCCAAACCAAAACATGAATCCCCCCACGTGGATCGTTATGAGCTAATCTAATCCCCGTGTCCTCGCTGTCCGAGGCCTCCGGTCCCGACGAGAGGCCGAGGCGCGCGGGGCGGGGGCAGGAGAGCGGCTCTTGTCTCCCTCTGGGCCCGCTGCGAGGTGCTCGTCCTCGGACATATAGGCCGTTTCCCCCGCGCCCGGCGGGGGGGGGCCAAGGGGCCGACGACGCAACGAGAGAAATGGTCGCCTGGAAGCCATCATCGCCGGGGCGGCTCGTCGCGGCTCGTCGCGTGGGGAACCCAGCCTCGCAGAGTATGCCGCCAAAAAGAGCCGACGAGGATGATTCGATCCGTCCGGCGCGGGGTCCTTGCATCCTTCCCCTCTCCCCCACTGATGAAAACGAAATGTCCGGACGAGGAAGCTCGGGCGTGGGGGGAGGGGCATGAGGACGAGAGAGAGGCATCAACCTGGGCAGAGCGGCCAAGAGGCGGATTCGGACTGGGACGTGATATCGCGCCAGCCTGGGGCCCATCTGGCGTGGGCGTGTACCCGTCACGAAATATGCCAGGCCGTGGGTGGTGCGCGCGGAGGGGGCCGAGATCCAGACCGGGGCCGTGTCATCGATCCAACCTCTGGGCGCCGCGCCGATGTGTCTTGCAGGCCTGGCCTGGTGCCCCGGAGGGGGGGGGGAGGGATGCCGATAACATCGAGCGTCTCTATACGTGGTATATTCATTCATATATATGTGCGTGCGTGTGTTTACTGCACAGGTATATCGTAGACATCTCTATACCCGGATCCATCGCCCTGCCTCGTCTTCTCCCTCAAAGCAAGCAGAGGCAGCAACCGTCGCGCAGAGGTCGGAAGCAACATGGGGCTCGATGGATCCCAGGACCGCGCTTCCGCTTCCGCTTCCGCTGGTCCGCGGGCAGCGCTTGGAGAGGGATGAGAGCGTGGGAGCCAGCAGCGTCACGGTAACGTCCAGCGTCCTTGGCCCAGTGGCCAGGCAGAAGGGGGGAGGGAGGGAAGGTGCTCGTTCAAGTCGAGGCCGACGAAGGGTGGTGGGATCACAGCCCACGACAAGGACAGCTGGTTATTTCCTAGGCCTTGGTTTTTAGTGCCGCGACGCCCAGGCCCAGGCCCTCCCGGACCTCATCCAAAGAATCGAAGAAGCGAGAAAAGAAAGGAGAAAACGAAATAGACATCTCGATTGGGTTCCAGCAGCGCCGAAAGCGGGGGCCTCTTCATCGACGCCAGGCCGGGGCCGCCCTTGCTGAAGAAGACGCGAGCTCGGCCCCGGCGCGACGTGATTGGCCCGCCGGCCTCGTCTCGATATCTCCAGGCAATCTTGCGTTATCGAGCTAAAAAGGAGCAGACAGAGAAGAGTCCTCTCATCTCCAGCCGCGCCCCCGTCCAAGTCGTCGGCGTCCCGCAGGGGCCGACAATAGCCGCGCGACGGGTGTGCTGTAGGGAGCAGGCATGGCCTAGCGTGCGGGACGACGCCTGTTCGAGCTGCTTCTGGTTTCGTTGCGGCGGGCCGGCCGTCGTGGGTGATGGCGGGCGGTTGTTGGTCGTGGCCATGATGACGGAGCAGAGACGCATTTGCTCTACCTACTGGAGCGGGGGAGGAAGGGAGGAAGTGGGACCATGTCCTGGAGGCTTCTGCGTCCAGGTCATGGTCCCCCCCAAGCATGCACATGCACAACATGCGTAGCGATGTTGCATCGCAAAGAGGGCTGCAGCCTGTTGACTCGGGCATCGCGCGTCACCATGATGAGGGCCCTCGACGCTGCTGCTCCCCACGGGGATGCTCCAGACTCCTCCCCCTGATGTCTCTTCATCCTCGTGCCCTGGTCTGTATAACCCATACACATGTCCCCACGCCCAGCAAGCACTCCGACCGGCCGTCCCGAGCGTCCTGCTACATCCCAGCGCCCCCGAGACGGGACGAAACCTGGAGCTGATTCCTATCCAACTCCTTCGCTGACCGGCTCACCCGTGCTCTCTTCGTCTCCTCCGAAAGAGGCGGCTCAGATTCCTCGCCCTCCGCTGCTTGGGCCCCCTCCGCCGGCCCAACGCCAGCGGACGGACCAACAGAGAGTCGCATCGCGTCCGTGTCTCGCGCCGGCCCGCCACCCCAAGTGAGGGGAGGAGGGGGCCATGTTCCCTGCCGCCAAAGCGCCCGAGCCCTCGGTCAGGCCTCGTAGGCACCTCGCGCAGAAAACTCCGGACGTCGTCTCAGGGCGTTGGCTCTGCGAGTACTGCTGTCACCTGCCAGTGTCCAGAGCACGTCTATCTCTTGCATGGTAGGGGAAAGAAAGGCTTTCGCTGTTTCATGTACGCCGCAAAACTCCACACTTTAACCGGGAACAAGACTGCACAATCTAGCAATGTATTGCTTCCCGCTGCGCCAGCCTCGGCTCAATCATTCTTGCGTAAAACGAGTCGAATCAGGCCGAACCAGGTCCTCTGTCAAGAGTTCCTATCCATCACTGCTCCCAGCTCCCTTTTCCTATCCTGTCCTGTCCTGCGCGACCGTCCATCCGCCTGTCCGAGTACGTCGTGATCCAGTCAAGCTCCTTGCGACAAGCGCCCAAGGGGAAGAAACGAAAGAAAGGGGTGCTTGGAGGAACAGGGGCGCGAGATGAAGCGGTTGTTAAAGGTATAAGCATATGTAGATGAGAACGCCGTCGCGTCATGCCAGAAGAGACGAGCGGGAGAAAGAATGGCCGTCTGCTTTAGGCGGGGGAGAATAGAGAAAATACTTGAGAGAACTGGTCCCATGAAAGAGAATGCATGCGTTGCACAAATGTCAAACCTGGCCTTGCCTGTTGAACGAGTGCGTTGGGGCCGAGAGAACAGAGGGAGAGGCACATGTGCCGCCTCTACACTTCCTCGGCCTCGTCCTCTTCCCAGAATTGAAGTCCGCCGTCGACCTGGACGGCGTCTCGCACCCACGGCTGCGCAGTCACCTTTTCAACGCTCCAGCGGCTCCGCGCCCGCTTGAGGAGCCCCTCGGTGATTTCCATGGCGCCGGCGAGGCCCCGCTCCTCAAACTTGGCCAAATTGCCCTCGTGGTCGCCATCCTCCCCGGCATATTCGATCCAGCGCCACTCGACCCTCGCGATCCGATGGCTCGTGCGACTGCGCATGCGATGGGCGTCGCTCATGCCCGGGTGGGGGTCAAACGGCAGCCGGGCCTCGAGGAGGGCGTAGAGCAGGACGCCCAGAGACCAGGCATCAATGGCCCGGCCGTCGTACGGTTGGCCCATGATGACTTCGGGGGCTGCGTAGTCGTCCGACCCACATCGAGTCTCGAGCTTCTCGTCGTCTGCGACGCGGCGGGAGAGGCCGAGGTCCGTCAAGGTGACGACCGACTGCGGCAAGGTAGCCCAGTCCATTGTCGGGTCTGCCAGCTCGGCCGGGCTCAGGTTGACGAGGACATCTAAAGAACAAGCCGGTCAGCCTCGAGTTTCTCCGGGTGCAAGGGGCTCAATCAGAGTCGCCCGGGGGAGGGGGAGAGAGCGCTTACTCTCAAGCTTGATGTCTCGATGCACGATCCTCCTCTCGTGCAGATAGTGCACCGCGCCGACCAGCTCGGCAAACATCCTCCTCAACAGCGACGAAGTCAGAACCGCCCGGTGCGCCGTCGCCACCTCGAAGAGATCGCCGCCGGGGGAATAGTTGAGTACGAGAATGGCCCTCGTGGGCTCTATGCTCCAGGCCTTGAGGTTGACCAGCGACGGGTGGTTTATACTTTGCAAGATCTCGAGCTCGCGCTTCAGGCTCATCTCGACGCGCTCTTCGGACGCGCCGCCCCGCGGGCCGTGCTCGCACACCTTGACGGCCACGAGCTTCCTGCGAGCCACGCTGCACTCCGTTACGGGCGTCGTTGGTGTGGCTGCACTGGGCTCGCCGGAATCGCCATCGGGAACCGCCTGGCTAGTTGCCAAGATGACCCGGCTAAAGGTGCCCTGGCCGAGAAAGCCAATGGACCTCCAACGCCGCATCTTACGGTCGCTGCGGGCGCGGGCCTCAAAGTATTCATAGCCTTGATCCTTGAGCTTGCTGCCGTCGCTCGAGTCTCTCGACGACTCGCTCGGGGGAGGAGTGGGAGGCTGTGTGACGGTCGGGGTCAAGCCTCGAGACTCGGCATAGTTGAGCTCCCTTCGCATTTGCGACTCTTGGTCTCTGGCGCCAATCTCGGCGTGGGAGCCAGAGACGATCACCGGCCTCTTGGGCCCACTTACGGGATTCGGAATGTATTCGCTGATGCTGCGGTTCTTGGGCTGGTGTGCATGCTGCGGCTGCGGCTGTTCGGGATGCGGGGCCGTGTTGGCCGCGTCCATTGCCGCGTACATCTTGCGCTTGGGCGCGTTTGCGGCAGCCGACTCGACCGACTCGCCATTGTTCGTGACGAGGACCGAGACCTGGCCCATGCAGGCCAACCGAGCACGAACCAGAGGTGGCGACCCGGAGCCGATGCTTAGTCTCCTCCACGGGCCGGGGGAATCGCTGGAGAGGAGGGGGCTCGGAAGAGGCGTCATATCGCCCATGGCGGCGATGACGGGGCTCGGGATGGCGCTACTACTTCCGCCCGCGGATCCAAAGCCGTGTGCGACGGAAGACCTAAGGCTCGGGGTCCTGGACAGGGGCTGCAGGCTGTTATGGGAGGCCTTGTGAGTCACGGCTCGAGGCGTGGAGAGGTTGGCGTTGGCGCTCAGCGAGCCGCGGCGGGCAAGGCCGGCGGTGGCGAGCGCGGGAACCGAGATCTCGGTGGAAATACGCAGCGGTGTTGAAGGGCTTTGTAGAGTCTTGTCGTCTGCGGCCGGCAGCGAGGCCGAGGAGGCGGCGTCATCTTCAGAACATGTCCGGGCCAGAGGGGGTGCTTGGACTGGGGTGTCGGTATCGGAGCGGACCAGGGGAGCCGTGTTCTGGACGGCGGCGTCGGAGTCATGGGTAATGGTGACGAAGGGCTCGTGGGAAGTCGTCGGCGGGGACGGGTCGTCGTCCATGGTTGGTGGCAGGCAGGCTGTGGAGGATGCGGTGCGTGTGCCCAGAGTGCGTGTGCCCAGCGTGCGCGTGCCCAGGCGCCGAGGAAAACAAGGGGCTCGAGGCCGTAGGTTTCTTGGACCGGGACCTGGGCAGAGCGTACAGGTGGACGAGACGGGGGAGGAGAGGCTCCTCTATAACGAGGACATGGGGGCGGTGTTGTGTGCCGTGGCGATGGCGGCGGCGGTGGGCGGCGGCGGTGGGCGACGGCGATGGGCGATGGCGCGATGCAGGGCAGCGAAAGGGGGCACGAGGCGATGGGGAAGGGAGTCGAGGGGATTTGGTGGCGCGTGGTATGGTGTCGCGATGCGGTGCGAGGCGATGCGATGCGACGTCGTCGCTGCTGTCGTCTGTCGATGAGGTCAAGGTGAAGAAAAGAAGGGAGGGCGAAATGAGTTTGAAGTCGACGACGAGGAGCGGGAGTAGTCAGCCGCCATTGGCTGTCGGGAGTGGCCCGTAGTGCCCGTACCTGTACCAGAGGTAAGAGGTACTCGCATCGACAAGCTCCCCGGCGGCCGTGTCCAGCGTCCAGCGGGTAGTTCTGCGGTACCTGGGTGCGCCAACGTGGGAGTCTGGAGGGCGCCATCTGTGACCTACAGCGCTAGCTCAGCGCCGTCGCTGTCCGTCGGTTGTCAAGGTTCGGCCATTACGTCGCCCGGCTGGCCACTTTGCTCCTGCGCAGCTGGCTCTGTGTCCCTCTGCAGCCGTCTGCCAGCCGTTGAATATTTACCCCGGCATCTTGGCCTGCGGAATGCAAGGCCTACGGGCATGGACCTCTTGTCTGCTCTGCGCTGCACTGGCGGGCCAATGGCAGTGGTGCTTGGGCCCGGGGTGGAGGCGGGGGCCTGCGGAGCTAACAGGGGCCAGGAGTTTAATTGACGTGGCCACCAACAGGAATGCAAATCACGGCAGTCGAGTCCCATGCCCGCTGTACTGTGTGTCTAATACCTAGGGCAGTTGTAAATCAATACACGAGAGTAGCTTTGCGGCGTCAATATTAATAATAGGGGCTCGTCAGATCGGTCTGCCTTGTCACTCTACTCTACAGGCGCCAGCGCCAGGGGCTCTATCCAGTATCCCAGGCCGCTGGAGAGGCGGGTCGGACCAGGCAGGATGACCCGTCTCTTGGGGGCCGAGGGCAATGCGTGGAGGCGGCGTTGGGCCGTCCTCATTTCGACAAAGGGCATCTGCCATAGAGACCACGTGGGCCTGGACAAACGCATGACAAGCCCCGGTTGATGATGATACACAAGCTCATAACAAGCAAATTGATTCGGAAACTGAAGATCGTGATAACAACGCTGTGGAGCCCCGGAAATGAGACAGCGGCAGCCATCACTCCGGTACAGAGTACGACGAATTCAGTCTCCAACACATCCCGCTCATGGAGCAAGTCCCTTTGCCCCGTCGAGGCCCAGCTGCAGCTGCCTACTACGCATGCGGAGCGGGTGGCCGAGCAGACACGGACAGCTGCAGGTACGCGTCTCTTCCCCGGCCCTCGCCCCACAGTTGTTCGGCGGGGCCCGTCATCCCGGTCCGTCATCCCGGTCCGTCACCGACCTTCTGTGCCTTTGACCGGGGATGCAGACCGTAATTGGTGCCTCATACGAAATATCAACAAGCCTGCTGCGGCACAGGCATCGCGCAAGAAGCAAGAAGCAAGACTTTGGCCCCTACATGTTCCTGGCCCGTGGTCGATGAGCTCGGAACTTTCTGAACCCTGTCTTCGTCTGCCGTGCTTCGAAATCCCTCTATCCCTGCATCATGGCCTGTCGTCAGTCGTCGACGGTCCCGACAAGATGCCCTGTACAGAGTACCCGTGAGCATCTCTCGGGCGGAAACGCTTGAGCAGGTCCTCCAGTCCGCCGCAGTCGCACCGGGGGCCGGGTGAGGAGGCGGCCCACTCAGCCCGGTGTGTCCGGGGGTCCGGTACCTCCAGGTGGCACAGGGCAGCGGTGCGCAGCGGTGCCTTGCATGAGACGGATAGCAGCACGCCGTCGACAGGATTTGCTTGACCGAGACATTGCATTAGTATTTCTGGTGGAAGCTGGAGAAGCGGCGAATGTGTGTTGCCGGGGTTTGCAGTCAACTGTATTCTTTGTCAGTCTGAGCTACAAGATGGACACGGAGCTCTTACCATTTCAGGCGGGATGAGGAAAAGTACTGCACTGCGACAATCACCCCCAGGCCCCGACTTTGTTCTTCGGCGAAGACGAGGCGGCATGTTGACGGCCATGACGAGACATGACGAATGACTGCAAGAATGACTCCAAGAATGACCTCCTTTCCCCCAGGGAACAGGGCAACAGTATAGGGTAGGTAAGCCGTGTCGGGGGGGAAATTGCATCGCATATGATTGGCTGACCGCTTAATTGAAAAAACCCACTCTCGCCCGACGCGTTTGACCCGTCGCGTCTTCTCGACGCTCACCCCAGCATCCAATCTCCACGAACCCCCTCTCGAAATCGACAGCCTCGCGGCCACGGAACCGAAGAGGATCAGACAGGATGCTGCGACACGACCACAACCGCATCGACCCCAAAAGGCGCAATGTCATTGACCACCGCAAGAAGCAGTTTGCGACGCCCCTGTACAAGGACGCCGAGTATCCGCACCGCCTCAACTTCTACACGGACGCGCCCACGGCCGACATTACGCTCGAGCAGTTTGAGCAATGGGCCATTGACAGGCTGAGAGGTCCGTTTGACGAGCAAAGAAAAAGGCGGCCGCGGGAGAGCTGACCCTTGCCCACCATCTCCAGTCTTGGCCGAGCTCGAGGCGTGCTCGTATCGCAACAAGTCGCCCGCCGAGACGGCCGTCCACATCAAGCCGGCCCTCGACAAGTTCCTGCCCCTCGAGACCAACAGCTCGGCCTCGACAAAGCTGTTTGCGCAGCGGCAAAAGGACCACTACAGCCACTTTATCCTGCGGCTGGCGTTTGCCTCGACCGAAGACCTGCGCCGCCGCTTCAACCGCCTTGAGACGATGCTGTTCCGGCTGCGCTTCAACAACGACGACCTCAACGAGCGGTCCGCCTTTGTGTCAAGCCTCGACCTAGACTGGTGGGAGCCCGTGACCGACGACGAGCGGCGCGAGCACGCGGCCGAGCTGGCGGCCGTGGCGGGTCCCAAGAAGAGCAACAACAACGCCGACGTGGACGAGACCTGGTTCAAGGTCGACTGGGGCCGGGTGCCGGACCTGGTGGAGCAGCGCCGCGTCTTTCTCAAGGCCGGAAAGGCCTTTGTCCCGGGCCGGGAGCAGTCGAGCATGGTTGTCGCCGAGTTTTCCTCGCGACTCGAGCGACAACTCGAGGTAAGCAGGGACGCCGGAGTGTTGGGAGCAAGAGCAGCGGGCTAACGCGGCGCACAGCTGACGGCGCGTGCGCTGCCACGGCTGGACGAGGACGACCGACTCACGCCAATCCTCAACCACCTCTCCAAGAACTTCGTCACGCCGGACTCGGCCTACGCGTCGGACTCGTCGGCGCCGGCGGGGGCCCAGATGACGGCGGCCAACGTGGACAAGCTGTCGCAGCACTTCCCGGCGTGCATGTCACACCTGCACCGGACGCTGCGGCGCGACGCGCACCTCAAGCACTACGGCCGGCTGCAGTACACGCTCTTCCTCAAGGGCATGGGGCTCAACCTGGAGGAGTGCCTCGTCTTCTGGCGCAGCGGGTTCCACAAGGTGACGGATGACACCTTCAACAAGGAGTACCGGTACAACGTGCGGCACGCCTACGGCGACGTGGGCGGCGACGCGAACCGCAGGGGCGGCGGCTACAGCCCCTTTAGCTGCCAGAAGATCCTGACGGAGCACCCGCCCGGGCCGGGAGAGGCCCACGGGTGCCCCTACCGGCACTTTAGCCTGGAGAACCTGACGGCCCTGCTGCAGCAGATGGGCGTGGCAGACCGGTCGGTGCTGCAGGGCGTCAAGGAGGACAAGGACAGCACAAAGTACCACATGGCGTGCAATCGGTTGGTCGCCCCTTCTTTACCCCTCCTCTCCCATGCTGGAGGGTCCTTTCTGACAGAGTGACAGTGTGTTTGAGCATCTCCACAAGGCCGAGATCAAGAAGGCCAAGGACGAAGCCATCATGACGTCGAACCAGCTCGAGACGATAGCCCACCCCAACGAGTACTTTAAGCGGAGCTATCTGCTCAAGAACCTGGGCAAGGACAGCGACGTCAAGATGGAGGAGAGCTGAGCTGCCGTACGTCGTCACGAGAGAGGGGGGGAGAGATAAGGGGATGGATATCAATGGTGCCGGCGGACAAAAGGGGGGGGGTTACGACTTGCAAGCTGCATGCAATAAGGGCGACGATCATGCATACTTGACCGAGCTTTGGGGATCGAGGAGTACATGACATGCGACGGATGGCGTTTTGGGGTTGGTTGAATCGATGCCGCATACTCTGAACAGAGCACGTGCATGAATAAAGACTTCCTTCTGGATGAGAGGAGAAGGTCCTGCAGGACACACTGCCGAAACAGTCTTCTTTCTTGACGACAAGATGTGCTTGGCCGTCTCTGATGTAGATGGACATGCCTGATGCTCGTCTCCCAGACCGGGAACTTGGATGTAGGCCATGATCGGCGTCCGATCTCCGATCTTGAGTAGCTTGGGCCATCTTGCTCAATGCGACGTGGACATCTTGAGATCCCTCATCGATCGACAGCCGTCTAGTCCACGAGCACGGCTTTTGCGCGTAACAGCACTTCGTATCGGGTGAGGCATACCAGAACCATCATCGCCAGCACTCCCCCCACCATCACCAATAACGACATCGACACACTCTCCTCCACGGCAGCCAGCACACACACATGCACACTCGCAAAGTAGACCCTCAGCCCAGCCTGCAGCCTCCCCCTCCCTCCCTTTAACACCCCCCAAAAGGCCGGGGGAGGGGAGTGAGGGGACAAGCCAAGGCAAAAGGAAGCCTCTGTAATTGCATCTCCGAGCCACACGCCCCCTCTTTCTCGGGACGGATTTCGCGTGAGACCCTGCGTCTCGGGGGGAAAAAAACAAGGTGACAGGCCAGGCCAGTGAAAAAGCAAGGAAAAAAAGGGCGCGTGTCGCTGGAGAGGAACGAGGGGGATGCGCGATGAGGTCAGGCGGGGCAGGCACGGGATGACGACATGGCGACGTAAGATTTCCGATTCCAGAGTCTTCTGCGTCGGTTTACTGCCGGTGGAGATGCGCCCGTTTTTGCTTCTTTCTTCCTTTCCTTCATGGGTTTTCGTGGGGGATGGGTGAGGTGGATATGCGGCCCTGCGCAACGTGCTTCTGGCACGACGCGCATTGGGGGGGGGGGCTTCATTCGTGCTGTGCGTCGCGTGTCTGTGATATCGCCGTGGTCTCGGTGTTGGTGTTGACGGCTTCTTCTGCACCAAGACAGTGTCCCTAAGCCCCTCCCTATCTGCGACATGATCCGTACATACAGTATACACAATCAGGCTTCCATTTCCGTCCCGCGCCATGCCCGACGGGCCCCATACCGACGCCATGCCGCCGTGTCCTGTGCAGCGCAGCAAGGTGGACAATGACATGGCTGCTACGTGCCAAGTCGCGCTCTCTCTCCCCTGCCGCTCGCGTATGTATGTATGGATGTATGAACATGTGCACGCCCAAAAGTACGACACGTTGCGGAAAAAAGGAACATGCATTGGCTCACCGCCGCATTGCGCCAGCAGTCTGGAGGAAGCCAAGTGGGGGAGGGCTGCAAGTGGGTGAGACACAGCTTTGAAGAACTTTGGCGATGGCTTCATGTTGGGGGGGTCGGTCAGGACGCGTACATGTATGGAACTGGCTAGATCGGGCCGGTGGGGCAGGAGACGAGATGTCTATGGCTGACGGGCAGCCATAGATACATACATACATACGTAGAAGCAGATGCACGCATCGAACATACATATTCAGGTCCGGCAGGCGTGCATGCATACGAGGCCAGAAACTTGTTTGCGCACGTACATACAGGACAAGCCAAGCTCCGGGCTGCCGCCGTCATTCCGCGGCTGAAAGTTGAATCCCCCCACCACGCCAACCTACAGATTCATGTATGTACGGAGTAATACAGAACTTGTCACAGCACATGCAAAATGCACACACGGCGAGCGGTAGTGCGGCATCCTCGTCTCGGGCCTTGTCAAAGGGTGGGTAGACGGGCACTGGCTCCTCTCGGCCCGCTCGCGCGAGAGATAGGCCTGACACGCTGCATCCATGTGCGTCAAGGAGCAGGTGTCATGCAGGCATCTGGCCGCCGTGCCGTGGCTATCGGCACCCGCGCGGATCTACGGCTCCGGTCCCCCGCACCGCCTTTCTCCGGCCGGACCGGTCGGCCCACGGCCGGCCACCCACGGCCGGGCTTGTCATGGTCCTTGACCACCAAAAAAGGGAAAACGGGCTGAGACGAAACTCACATTTTGCAATGGTGAGCTTGGAAGCTTGGCGGTTGTTGACTCGAGCACCCCCCACCTCGTGCCCCCTTTCATGTCCAGCCTTGGTCATTTTCCACCCTCATCCTCTCTCCCGCCCTCTTTTCCCGCGCAAAGCCCGCCGGCCCCGAACAGGGACGTGCACATGCTTGTATGTGATTCTTACACCGGCCTACTATGGTGCCATTCCTCAGGGTCCAAGGCAAGCCGTGGAGACAGCAGCCCCCACGGAGGCAGAATGAGGTTTAGACCCGTCACGGCATCCGACGATACCGCGAGTGACGTGGGGGTGCCATCACCACGCAGATGCATGCATACATACTGTCGTGGTCTCTGCGGCGGCACGGGAAGCCATTGCCAAGAGCCGAGGGGGAGCCATGATGCCCGCTCAGTCCACCGGCCGTCTCCCTACTGAGGATAACTCGCGACGTGGGCGACAACAAACAAGAAGAAAAGAAAAAAAAACGACGATATCTTGCCCTCTCGCATAGTGGTCAATGGCCCCTCTTCCCTGCCCAAAGCCAGCCCAGGTATCCTGGCCATGGCAGCGCCCGGCAGTGGGCCGGACAAGTCAGTCTTCCACCTCGTTTCTAGGCTGGCACGGAACCGGGAACAGGATCACTAGCCATGTGATCCATCTCGTGCATTATATTCACATGGATTCTACGTAGCAATGGTCTCTTCCTCCCGGCACAGGGGCCAGGTCCAGCCATCATCATGCAAAAAAAAAAAACACAATTCGCACCCTCCACAACACCATAGAAACTCCCAGGGAACAAAAAGAAGAAGAAGGAAGAATAGCGGGCATCCCAAAACAACAAACAGAACCCCGGTGTTGAATCGCGCCCATGTGAACGTGCATGAAACAACTCTTTCTATCGCAGGCCTCCCCCCCTTCTGACTACTCTACCGTATTGTCGCGGCCCACCGAGTCACGCGCTGTTTCACGACTTTCTTCAGGGCCATGCCGGACCGGAGGACCCTCCATCCCTGTGCCAAGGCACGAGGTGAATGAAAAAAAAAAACCTCAGGCCAATCGCAATCGCTGCATTCCCGACGCTGCTTCATGCCCATTGCGCCGACTGTGCATGCTCCGTATTTTCGTCGCGCATCTTTCTCGTTGGGGCGCAGCAGGGACTCGAGGTGGCCAGAAGCGCCAAGACGGAGGAGATATAAACAACAAAGCAAAGCAAAGTTTGACCGATCATGACAACAGTCACCCGCCCCGGTTGGAGCCCTTTAAGCGTAGTCCATTCGAGGCCCACAAGCTTCTGGAGAAATTGGCCAAGTCAAGCCAACAAGAGTCATGCCTAAGCCACGGCGCCCTACGGGGCATTGGGCTGTGCAGTAGAGTGCCTTGACAGTTTTGCGAGCTGCGGAGATGCACTGAGGCAGTGTAAACGGTAGATGGGAAAATGGTCTTCTATTTCTGCTACATGCAAAGTTACCCCGTTCTCAACCAAGGCCATAATACGAACAGCCCACGGAGTGCCGTGGCCCTTGATCGCCATTGGCTCGGCCTCGCGTGGCTTGCGCTGCAACATCTCCGGGAACCCCTGACATGCAGTGACTTGGCCCCAGCAAATGGTAGCCCGCTACATCTCGTACCGCCGGAAAGCGTACCGTCTCCGGCTCGGCGCGTCCTGCCTGTCGCACCCTGCCGTCATGCCCAGCACCGCCATGTGTGGCTGCCGGTTCGTCGGTACATCCTACCAAAGACACTGGCAATATGCAGTTGCCTTTTGTGATCGATCGACAGGGACATGATCGTGACCGGCGCAACGTTGCGTTCTCGAGACGGCTCGTTGCCAGCAGTGTGTTGAGCTCCGATATGCCAATCGCCTGTGGCACCAGGAGCAGAGGCATCTACCCCTGGTTGTGTAAAATCTCTTATACACACGGCCTTTCCGTGCCGTGGTCATGCAAGCCCCAGCCAGTGGAATAATGGAAAAGTGTGGAAGAAGAACCAGATATAATAAAAAATGAAACAAGAAATGAAAGGTTGGCCGGGACCGCGGCAGCCGATGTCGTCGCAGCTCTGGCACAACTGAAGGTTCCCACAATGCATTGGTTGCGGGGTACACTCGGGGCGTAGATGAGAAGCCGTGTGCTTGCGCGTCCGGCGGCACATTGACCGTTTCCCTCTCGACTCCCATGGTCCCCAAGGGTGGGAGGTCGGGCGAAGTTCGACAGGGCGGACGAGCGGGCGCTGTCAATGGTCCCTCGATATGTCTCGGCGTTCAGAAAGTGACGGCATCAGTTCGTCCCGACAGCAAACAATTCCTCTCGCAACTGTGCACCTGGGAGGAAACAAGGCGAGAGGTCCGTAGACGGCGAAAGGTGAGGTTGCGAATCGCGTGCGCATGTCTTGGGTACAAGACATTCCCGGCTGCCGGCTGCGACAAAGGCCTCTAGGCCCGACGCCTGATTGTCGTGAAGAAGTAACCTGCAGTTGCTCGGGGCGTTCACGCAGCGGCGTGACTGGAGAAGTCCGTGGCTGCTCCAAAAGGGGGGTATCACAAGTTTTGATTCGCTGGAAAGAGCATTCTCGTGCGCGCGTTTCATCAATGCACCAGCAACACGCAACAAGTTGTCGTGCATGCCGTGGTGTGAGATAGGAGGAGGAGGAGGAGGAAGAAGTCGTCATCGTCATCAGATGTTGCTGTCCGTGGATGGTGGCAGGCGCGTCCCCTTATTTGTAGCCCACCATCTTGGCGCAACGTTGGCAGTAGTAGAGGTTGTGGGCGATGCGGACCATGCCCATGGTGCTGATGTCGTCGGTCGAAGTCGTCTCGACAGCTCGGGCACAGCGCATGCAGCGCAGCACCTCGACCGAGGCAATGGCACGAGGCCGTCTCGTGGCCGTCTCCATGCTGTGACGGAAGGAGGCGGAGGAAGCGTCGGTGGTGAGGTCCGAGTCGGAAGAAGAGGCCGAAGAAGAGGACGAGGTGGATGAGGAGGAGGGAGACCCAAAGAGTTTGCTGGGCATGGTGAAGATGTGTCTGGGTTCTGTTTGTTGTGTGTGGTAGATGAGAGAGCTGGAGGACGGGATCGAGGAAGACGCGGAGGCGGCAGGGCGACGGGATATAGTATGGCTCGAGTCGGGTGGTCGTTTCGAAGAGGGGACGTTGGCCAGCTGATGGATGGGGAAGGGGCCGACAGATTTATGACTCGTAAACGGCCTGGAACTGGGAGCTGTTCGGCTGTGACTGAGGGTGGATATGCGTATCCGTGGTAGTGGTGGATATTGCCGGGTCGGTCTTGTCAAGGATCTGCGGGGGAGAGTGTCGCGCGGCGTCCGGGTTGATATATATCGTGGGAAGAGCAACAAGAGAGAAAGAGAGAGAGAGGGGGAGAGTCGGCGGGGCGCAAGGAGGGGGCGTGTGCCTGTATGTATGCCTGTATGTGCGGAAGGGATTGGGCCTGTTCAACAAAGAGGTTGAAGCGAAGAGGCGGAAGGGAGGGAACGCTTGGGCTTGAGCCGTTGCGCACTGCTAGATTGGCCAAGTCTAGGCTGCCTGGGCTGCTGGGCATTGGCAGGCATGGTCGGGGGGGGGTGTGGCAGCGGCGAGCGTGGGATCCACGCGTAGGGGGTGGGCGGCTTGATCGACGATGATAGCATGTATGTGTGTATGTATGTAGCGGGACGCCCGTCTCTGTGCCGCAGTGCCGTAGCACGCTGTATGCATCTGCCTGGAACCTTGTCCAGGCGTCGCAGGAGTGGGATTTGAGTTGGGCATCGGGTTTCATGCAACTAAAGGGGCAGGGCGTGCGCGAGAACAGGCCCGGAGATGCCCAGGAACTGTATTGAGTACAGGCTCGGCAGGCCGCGGCGCGCGGGGCATCCAAGTGCCCGGTACACAGAGTCACCTCGCAGCCAGGCACAAGGAGAGAGAGTTCACCGAGGATGGTTCCCCAGCCCAGCTCCGTGGAGAAGAAGCCCAACTGGCCCTGCCTCCAAAGTCAAGCTAAGCTGTCTGTTGGGGAGAGACCTTTCCGGGTGTTTTTGACTCTGGTCGCAATCACGGTGCACTCAAGTCAAGCAGGCGTCGAGAGTTTCACCGAGCGGGCAAAGAGGGTCGTCTCGGCCTTTGTGACCATGAGTCTCTCGACAAGGAAGCCCCCATCGTGTTGGCGGCAGAGGCAAATGGTCCAGGGCACCTCCATCACCTCCATCACCACCCTCACTTGCGGCAGCCATGGCTGATGCAAAGGGTCCCTGTTGCGCGCGTGTACTCTGTACTGTAAATGTAATGTCAATAGCCAGCCAGGATCGCATGTGGACCCGTCAAACTGCGGATGGACCGGAGGCCTAGGACGGCGGAGAGAGCGCAAGGGGCGTGGCCCTACCGCGCGAAGTAAAAAGGCGAGGGAGGGCGAGCGCTACCGTACTCACGACGGCCTGTTTCTTCAGTGGGTTATTGACTTTTGCTGCAGCGGACTCTCGGCACATCTGGCCTGGCCCGTCAGACCCGCCCCGTCAGCCCGTCAGCCCGTCTGCCCGTCTGCGGCAACCTCTGGAGAGAGGGCGAGCGAGGCTTTGTTTCGTCAAGTTGGCCGGCCCCGGTTTGCGAAGCCGATTGTTTCGAGGCATTTTTACTGACTTGTCCGTGAAACCCCTTGGGCCCTTGGGGGCCATCTCGAAAGCCGAAAGGGGGAGAGAGGGCGAAAAAAGTCGACGGCCGCGAGACCAAGGGGAGTAACCGGGACCGGCCTTGTTGGTCAGGTCTACGAGGCAGTACCGGTAGTTGAGGGGGGTGGAAGGGGTGTGCGTGATACAAGGCATTTTGCAAGTCATGTCTCTAGCTGTCTTGAATGCTTATTATCCCGCTGCGCTACACCTACATACCTACATACCGGCCGAACGGAGCATTTGTGCAGAGGAAAATAAGAGATTAAAGTACAAAAACAAAGAAGACTCAGCCTTGCCAGCGGCAGATTTGATGCTCATGCGATTCAGCCGGTTCGCGACTGCATGAAGCCAATTTACACGGAGCGGGACGCGACCATGGGGATGCAACGACATCGGATGCCGAGAGGGGAGTGCATGCCGGTCGCGTCATGGATCGGGCACGACGACGACAAGGAGGAGCGCGGTGAGAGGGGAGCAGCGGTCGTGGCACAGGCAGCAGGCAAACGTACGAGCCGTCATCTTGGTGAGTGTCTGAGTGTGGATGGATGGGGGCATGGGTGTATGTATGTATGAATGTATGAATGTACATATGTATACTGTAGTGCGTGAGAGCAGGTACAGTATGCTCGGATATAACATGGACTCGTGACGAGCCGGGCGCGTCGTCGAGCGATGTGCGAGCCATGCTTGGATCCTGGGCAGTCAACTGCCCGACCTGCTCCGTCTATATGTATGTACAGTACAGTACTGTACCATGAGCCCGGGCTGTCAAGACGGCTTGATGGTGCTGACCAAGATGCTTGTGAGTCACGGCCGTCATCCTGAGCCCAGCCTGCGCCGCGCCGCGCGGTCTCGAGACGCAAGATGCCCACGCCAGCACGGAACTCAGGTCGAGGACACGTCGCAAGGGGGCATGTAGACAGACATGTTGTGAGCAGCCGTGCGAGACGTTTGCCGACGACGAGGCAACACGCAAGCTGCTGTCTCGATAACGTGGATTCGGAGGATACAGTACAGTACAGTACAGTACAGGACAGGACAGTACAGCACAGCACAGCACAGCACAGCACAGTATAGCACAGTACAGTACCGTAGTTGGCCTGGAGAGCAGAGCAAAGGGGGCAAAGGGGGGGGGGGGGGGGTGGGCCCGGCAAAGGCCCGTATGCATCTATGGGAGCAGCCACCACCACCCCCTGTTGGCTGCCGTGCATGCCTGTAGACGATGCTTGCCTGTAGACGATGCTTGCCTGTAGACGATGCTCATGCAGCTAAGTGGAATGCCAAAGAAGAATCGAAGGAAGCCAACGGTTAGAGGCCGGCGCCCAGGGGGGGCTTAGCTCCATCGGCAGCTCCTGATGGCCCTGCGAATCCCCGATCCGGAGCACCACCACGGCCGTGTTCGCAGGGCAGCTTTCGGCCGGCATCGAGTCATCAAGAGGGAAAAAGCACTTTGGCTCCCCCTTTTGGAGCGTCGCCCGCCAACAAGACGGGGGGGTCAACGAGCATCGGGCCAGTTTGCCCCGAATCGGACCAACGGGCCCCGATGGCACAAACTCTCTGCAGCAGCACATGCGCTGGCGACTCCGTCAGCCCGGCGATTCAGTAGAGAGGCTCGGAGCCCCGATGCTCGGATCCCGTGGGGGGCGGGCGGACGGCGACGGCGACGACTTGGCTAGCCCGGCGCAACTTTAATATTTTTTTTTTCATTTTCTTGCCACATATCCGGCCTTGCGTCTGTGCTCCCTCGCCACTGCGCCTTGCCAGGCGAGGGCGGGATGGCCTTGTTGAAGATGGGCGTGGGGGGGGAGAAGCGCACGGCCAGTCTCCTGCTGCTGAATGAATCAAGTGTCGTCCATCTCCTGTGCAGTATTGTACACATCGACGATGCACCGAGTCCCTAAACAATGGCTGATCGGCGGGCTCCCCCTCGCTCCCTTGGATAGCACGCTTCTCCCGCTGATCGGACAATGGATGCCTGCACATGACGGCCAGGGCCGGTGACCAAGGCGCCGCAGGGCAAACGAGAACAAAGGCACACCCCGCGTCGCTTGGCCATCTCTCGCTGTCTCCTTGCCACGGACATTCCCCGTTTTGACACCATGGCCGTCCCGATGTGGCCCAGGCGGCCATGTTTATCCCCCTCGGCACGGGGGTCCGTTCTCGATGCGGCCCGCGATTCACAAGATGAGATCGCGATACGGAGCATTGGATGCGACTCTTTCTCTTTCTTGCCCGCCGGCTCAAAGTGCCCGGCGCGAAACCTCGAAGACGTGTTGTGCTGCGATCGCTGATCTCTCCAAGGGACTGCATCAGGGGCTCGCATTGCCCCCGAACTGAACTTTGCGCGTGGCCCAATCCACGTGCGCCGTGGCCAGTGGGGATCGAGATGGATTATTCGCCACGAGATGCGGCACCGGAGCCTCGATTTGCGGCAGTGCTCTTGTGAATTGCTAGTCGAGGACAGTGGTCGCGGATCACACATCTCTTACTGTATACGTTGTTTGTACAAAGCAATCGAGGCTCCCAGACAAGTTGCATCATTCTCCGCGTCCCTTTGCTGGTCCCCGCACGTCCTGCATCGAGATGATGGCGGCGTTGGATATATTTCATACATGACGCCTCCATTTCCTCCGATCAACCCCGGCCGGCCACTTACTCTTGCAACCGCAAAACCCTCCCTGCATTCACCCACCGATGCTGGCTTCATCAACCTGGAAGCCTGCATGTGCCTGTCTGTGAGTCTGTACGTACTGACATCGTGAGTCATTACGTCCCTGCGCATGTGAGCAGCCGTCCTCCTCCACATGTTCGCGCCCCGGACTGCGAATCCCGAGACGGAGAGTGCTTCAAAGGGAAAAGATGCCAAGCCAATATTCAACAATCGTGTCTTTGGGCCTATTAATACGCAGCCGGGAAGTTTGGCTCCTCTCCTGCCATCGTCGGCCATGCCTGGATTCGGCCCCTCTCCAGAGGCACGGGCGTGGCCTGACGTGCGCAGACCCTGCTGCCGCGCGTTCGGCATTGCGCCTCTGCGGAAACCATGGTGGTGTTTGCTTCCTTTTTGCATCTGTTTCCCGGCCCCCCGTGCGCGTGTGCCTGGCACGGTCCAGACCATTGGATGCGCCCACTCCCTGTCATGGCCGAACGGCTTGATGGTGAATGAGACGACGCGGCGACGTGTCTCCGCCCTGCATCTTCCCCATGCTCGGCATCTCGTCGCCGCACACAAAGTCGCATGTTAGATTACCGGGGTCGGAGAATCCACTTGGCTCTGGCGCTTTTTGGCTGCACGTCTGCGGGCGGCGCTTGCTGCCATCGGGAACCCTGTTGTGCACCCTGATGTGCACCCTGATGTGCACTCACACAGACAGACGGACGGTCCTTTCCAAAGACCTTGGAAAAGACCTTGGGTCGGGTCAGCATAGGTCTGGACCCTCTCGCGACCATTGCCAAAGTTGTTTCCTCCCGTCCATGCACATACATGGCTCCACCCCCCTCCTGACGCCGCCTAGGTAGAGCCCCATGGCCCCGGGGGGGGAAACACACCCAAAAGGATGAAAAGACTTGGCATGCCGCAGGTCCTGCGGGCTCCACGGAGAAGCCGCCTTTCGCACACACGGGCAGGGACAGGCAGGCTGGTTGGCAGAAAGACGGCAGGTGTCCGACAAGGCGGCCGCTTTGGGTTTCTCCTCTTGCCCGCCCAACCATATCGTGCATGGACTGGCTTTGGGCTCTCCCTCGCCGCGGGTGGAGAGTCAGTCGGGTCCTTCCGTCGAGGGATGATTTCTTACCTAGTGTACATAGGCAGATGATAATCTTCTGTGTTTGTTGTAGTTGGACGCTGCCTACTTTGTGTGCATGCACTACGAGTGTCTGTCTACCGTCACGGGGAGAAAGACGTATTGCGTTGCGTTCATACATCTCCTACATGGTCCTGCGTACGCGTATACATGGAGGACAGGAGAAGCCGTTTCAACACCGAGCGTGCGAGAATTGCCAATGACTCGCCCCGACCAAGTGGAAGACGCGGCCGTGGACAAGGCACCACGAGGCACCTGATGCAGACCATGATAGGCAGAGGGCTCGTGGCAGAGAGTGCCAAAGTATGCATGCATGCATATACATACGTACATGCGGCAGAGTTTTGGCGGAGAAGCCGGCCGGCCCTGATCGCCATCCCTTGCATTGCTGCCATGACAAGAGTTTGCCGAGGGCGACGTGTCAAGACTCAAGACCGGCCTTGACACACGAGCGTGTGTGTGTGTGTGTGAGTGAGGGAAAAAGAGAAAGTCTGCGGCCCGGCAACCTGGCGTGGGCGTCGTTCTAGATCTCAGCAGGGTTCTGACAGGGCCCCTGGTTCCCCAAGGCGATTCCTCGGCGCCATCTGCGAGAGGTTTCACAGGAGCCCTGAAACCGACCTTTTTCTTTCTTTCTTTTCCTTGGTTGCTCGGTGAGCCTCGGCCACCCTGTCAGGACACACACAGACAAGCTTTTACCCTTATCCTTTGCTTGCGCCGTAGCTTGCAGGTCATGCTTTCACACGTCGACGAAGCTGCTCCAAGCCTCTCTGCTCAAGCCTTTTCTCTGCCCAGCCAACTAGGCCTTGGCAGGGAGGGGGCCAAGGGGCTCGGTCTAGAACAACAGGGCGAGAGAAGATGTCACGCTGTAAACAAAACGCCGCCTGATGTTGCACTTCGGGGAGGAGGGCATAAGCTAGCCGCCACACAGTAGAGTCGAGACCGGGAACCAAGAGCCAGGGGGGGAGGCAAAAGAAAGCAACGCCGGGCTCTGCATCCCGGCACCGCACGGACGCGTTCCATTTTCCCTGCACGCCTGTATGCTTCAGCCAGCCCGAATTCTCGGGCTGGCGGCCGACTTCTGGGCCGACGAGGAGGACCCCTAAAACAAGCGGGGCCGGGGGGGGGAGAAAGGGGAAGCCTGACTAACTTAGCAAAGGCCCTTGCCCTCGACAAGGCATGCACGACGGTCAAGGGCAAAAAGAACTGTTCAAGGCCTGGCTGGTTTGAACGGTTCCCCCCTTCTTGTACTCCGTAATCTTTTTGATCCGCCGAGTCTTATCCAATGGGGTCTTCCCTTATTCATGAACATCCCCCCCCCCAAGACCTTTGTTGAAACGACAAGAGACGTCCTCTCTCCACGACAGCTCCCCCTCTTCATCAAACCCTTCTTCTCCCTGTTTTCTCTCTTTCTCTTCCAAAAGGGGGGGGGGGGGGAGAGGGGGAGAAAGGCCCCGACCAAAAGCGTCCCAATGCCCAGTCCGCAGCACCAACAGGGCTGAAAAGAGTGCCCAGCCAACAAAGAAGAGGGCACGGCCAAATGGCAACTGGCGAAATGCGACTCCCGTAATGATAAACAAAAGCAACAAAGAAGCCTTCACTTGGCCTAGCACAAACACCCCGGCTCCTGTTGGCTGTCTTTGATTATGCTCGTAAACATTCTTTTATCCCGTCCAACCGTCGCCGCCTCATCAATGCAAACATCGTCTCTTCATGCTGCGGGTCGGACGACGCCCATGCTTTTCGGCCAACAAAACGCCATGAACCCAGTTGGCGGGTAAGCATCTACCAGCGCATCTTGTCTTGCTTGCCCCGGGGATTCCTGTTGGTCCTCGTCCAGACTTAGGCTCATACCCGTGGCTTGTTGATTGCTCAATCTTGTTCCCATCACCCATGTTCCGCCGCCATCGGTTGGGCACAGCACAGGGAAACAAAAATTGCTTCTACCCATCAGGCTGCCTGCCGCTTCCAGTCTGGACCGTAAGTTAGAGGTTCCACCGCCGCGGCCCGCGTGCGAGCCAACAACGGCTGGCTCTTGCGCTGCCTCGTGCTCGACAACCCCGTCTCTGGCTCGCAAAAAACTCACTGTACCTCGTTGCTTATGGCAGAGCCCGACACACGATCCAGACGCGAGACGAGAGCCGGAGTATGATCAGGTTGACTTTCTTTGCACCATCTCCATTATCTATAAGCCCCTGTGCCAGACGACGCCTGACCGGCTAGGAATCCTCGAGGCGTGCTCCGGACCCGAAGCAGCCTGCCGGTGGTGCTGGTAACGATGCGTCAAGTCAGACGTCAGCTGGTCTCCTAGCACCCTCTCCTTCCGTCTCCTCCATCACACATAAAACTCTATCCGTCCCTCGGCCGTTGGGGCTGGGAAACAAATCCAAACAGGCGTTTCGCCGCAAGCATCCCTCCCCATCCTCGACTCCACCCAAAGGCATCCAAAATGCATGGTCAAGGCCGCAGAGGCGCTCGCCCTTTGAATCTCGACCACCCAGTCGTGCGCCAAGCTGTCCTCAAGAGGTACATTGAGGGCGGCGGCGCAACAATCCTCACGAGGGCGCCAAGAGGATACCGAGACTTCCTAAGCCACCTCCAATTCGAGAGCGGCCGCCCATCAAAGTCTGGGCACAAGTCACCAGTGACTTAAAATTTCGGCACGGGAGCCAAATAAATCGTCTTGACAATTCCGAGTCCCGAATCCCGTGTCGGCAACGGACCGTACGCCGTCCACATAGTTGCCGTTGAGTGTGCCCTCTCCCAAGCCGTGGGATTGCCGAGCCGGGCATCCGTCATGTCCAAACCGGTCCGATCGGTCCGCAACTCCGTTCATGCGAGTTGCCGGCCAACGAGTCCGTCGACCCTGGCTTCTGCCTTTGGATCGCTCATGCGCCCGGGACTGGTCCCTCGGTCTCGTCCAGCTCGATGGTCGCTTCGCCTCACAAATCAAGCAAGGCTTTCCGAGACTTCGCCAGCGAGGTGGTCAGCTCCGTCTGATCGTCATCGTCCGGCCCCCGTGTCAGCCCACAGCCTCCGCGACGTCACATCACTCCGCCCTGCAGCCTCTGTCGACCCGTCCAAGGCATCACCGCATCAACTGTCGCTGGCACAGAAATAGCCGGCATGGCCACACCCCGTATATATTCCAAGGAAACCGCCTGACAGGAACGGGTCCACGGAGAGTAGCTGAGGGGTAAAGAGACTAGAATAAACAATGACAATGCTCGCCCATGCAATCGCAGTTTATGCTCAAGACAGGATATAAAATAGCAGAAACGATGGATGGTCACCTCGAGGTGCCTACCCTTGTTCTTGCTTTGCTTTTGGACTCAACGGCATCAAATCACTTTGCATTGTAACGCCAACGCCTGCCGTTGTCCTTGACCCACCAACGGCCCATAAAGGCCGCCCTCTCTGTCCATTGGGCGGCCTCGATGCCGTGCTTCTTCTCCACCTTTTCCAGAAACGGGGGGAAGGCAAATGCGACTACGGCGTCGTTCTCGCGCGGGTCCTGGACCGTGTCGGTGAAACGCCACTCGACATCGTCGATGACGGGCATGATGAGACGCCACTCGGGTCGGCGGGCGTCTCGGACAGCGACGGTGGCGCGGCCGGGGTTCATGACGGTGAAGAGCCAGTTGGCCTCGCCCGTCTCGAGCGAGACCTTGCGCTGGGGTCGGATCAGGGACTGACCCTCGTAGTTGTGCATCAAGTCGTGCGCCGCCTGACTGGCCCCCTTGGGCAGAGAGCCCGTCTCGACGAGCAGGTCGAGAATGGTGGGCAGGATTTGCATGGAAACGACGGCGTCGTTGATGTCGACGGGCGGCAGCTTGGGGTGCGACATGACCAGGGGGACGTGGAAGTTGCCGACGTTGCCGTTGTAATAGGGCGTGACGGCGCCAGTCTCGGGCAGGGACAGGCCGTGGTCGCCAACGAGGACAAGCAGCGTTTCGTCGGCCACGCCCTCTTCGTCGAGGATCTCGAGAATCTGCTTCAGCCAACGATCGACGTAGCCGACGGCGTTCATGTAGTGCGACAGGTCGTTGAGCTTCTTTTCGGCCGTCAGAGGAACGTACTTTTCCTCCTCGGGCATGCCAAAGGGATGATGGGTCGTGCTCGTCAGGTGCGACAGGAAAACGCGCTCCTTGTTCTTCTTGGCCTCGGCGAAGGCATCCCGGATGTAGTCCTTGATGGCCACCTCGGGCATGCCGTAGTAGTTGATGTCGCTCATGTTGACTTTGCCGAACTTGGCTTTGCCGCCCTGCAGATACTCCTTGTGGACGACATTCTCGGCGGCGTATCCCAAGACGGGCATCTCGGCGTCCTGCTTGTCGTATCCAATCGTCACCGACTGCATAAACTTGGACGTCCAGTTGTACGAGGTAAAGTCGTCCCCATCCTTGGGCTTGTCGTCGCTTGGCTTTTCATCTTGGTTGTCGAGCTGGTTAAAGGCATTGAAGATGTGGGGGAGGCATGGCTGATAGACGTGGTTCGCCTGGTCGACGTTGAAGTCGGCGACAAGCGGGTACAGGCCGCAGATGGTGCCGAACAGGCTCTTGAGGGTATAGGTGCTGGTGGTGTGGACGTTGTTGGCGTTGATGCCGCCGCGGCGTGGTTGGGTCGGGTGCGTGAAGCCATCGTCATAGTCGCCGGTGAGCATGTTGGCCGTCGGGGTCAGCGTGGCGAGGCGCTCGAGGGCCTCGGCGGGCATCGACTTGTTCTTAAAGGTGCCAATGAGCTCGTCCCAGATGGTGCCGCTCTTCTTGACGGGGAAGACGTCCTTGCGTGTGCTCTCGAGCTTGATGAGCACCACATGGCGGATCTTGACGTCACTGAGCTTGCTCTTGATCTCGCTGATGACACCGTGGTCCAGGTTGGAGATTCGGAGGGGATCGTCGGCTGCGCGGTAGTGCTCCTTCTTCTCGTACCAGTCCTCGAATCCCGGCAGGGGCGTGTCCTTGGGCAGCCAGGAAAATGGCACGGGGTCGGCAAGGGCGGTGCGGTTCCCAAGGTCGCCGTTGATATCGGTGCCGTACGAGGGGATCAGGTCGGCGAGACTGGGGGACGCGTTGATTAGGTCGACAAAGGGCATCAGCGGCAGTGTCCAGGACATGAAGACCAGGGAGTTGTCCTCGGGGCGAGAAAGCGTAGTGACGATGAGGGTGAGCAGCGAGGCGCCGACTGCGACATGCAGCCAGGTGAACCACTTGGATTGAGCCGGGCGTGCGTGGGCGGGTTTGTCGGAGGCTTCGCAGCTGACGTCGTCGAGCATCTTGCGCTCGGAAGCGCCGCCCTCGACATCATCCTGGGGGACGTGCTGGTAGCTGACATTTCGCCGGGCGCTCCAGCGTTTCGAGAGCTTGGCGAGGAGGAAGACAAAGGGCCATTGGATGATGGCAAGGGCGGCGTTTGTGATGACGAAGCACGTATCCTGGAGGAGCCAGGCGGCGACGAGGATGGAGCCAACGGTGAGGGAGCAGGATAAGAGGCCGGAGAGCAGCATGGCCCACGAGGACGAGTCACCGGCGACGCCGACGTTGCGCCAGTGGAGCTCAGTGCCGGCGACGAGGAAGAAGGAGATGCTGGTGGCGGCGAGAACCAGGGACAAGGCGACAATTGCGGAAGCGAGCGAGGCGGCGAGGAACCTCAGGGGCCGCATGGCCAAGGACGACTGGGCGTCGAGGAGGAGGCGGAGGACGAGGAGAAGGATGACATCTTGGGCAAAGAAGGACAGGCCGTACGCGAGCACGTCGGAGGGAGCGAGGGCCTCGCGATGGGCGTATACGTGGACGACTTTTGAGCCGAGGATGGAGGCGGCGGCGACGGCAAAGGCGAAGCGAGAGGCGAAGAAAACCCGTCGGGTGCAGAGCCAGGTGGCTAGGGACGAGGGAATGGACGACGCGGACGGGGAGCTGGCCCGCGCGTGTCGGATACGATGAAAGACCATGACGACGGCGTGATTATTCCCGAAAGAAATCCAAAATCGACCTGCCAACAAGAGAGCCAAAAGTAAAAAAGTTAGCTTCGGTAGAGGCGGGTGTTTTGGCTGCGGCGTAGCTCCCCAGACGCGAGGAGCTGAGGCTGGGGTGGGGGGGGTTGGGGGGGGAGCTCACGTCAAGCACAGGCGGCGCCTTGCCGGCGTCTTGTCCCGTCGAGACCAAGGAAGGGTCTCTCTCTGTTGAGGAGGATTGGCGAGGCCAAGAGGGAAGAGAGAGCGGCTATAGGAAAGAGAAGGAAAGGAGGGGAGGGGAGGAGAGGAGAGGAGAGGCGAGGCGAGGAGAGGAGAGGCGAGGAGAGGAGAGGCGAGGCGTGGGAGGGGAGGAAAAAGAGGAGAGCTGGGAAAGAGAGGAAGGAAACGGGAAAGAGTGGTTGGTGACGGGAAATCTGTTGTGTTGGCTGCACGTGTGGCCACGAACCTTTTGTTCCGCTCGAGAGCCGGGCAACCCGCTTTGTCTCTGGCCCTGGCTGCAGGTCATATGGAGCCTGTCTGCTGTGGCGACGACGACGACGACGACGACTGGAAGGCTATATAATGTATAAAGTAGTTGCGTAGCATCGGGCTGACGAGGGCGCCGTTTGTCTCGACGGTGGTGGATGATATATGGACAGGTGCTGCCCTCCGGTTACAGGCGCCAGCTACAGGGGCCGGCCCTCTACAGCGCTGGATGTACATGCCTGCTGCCCAAGGCAATGGCCGGTATGGCCAAGCAGTGAGACTTCACCTTGTCTCATCTTGCCCTCTTGGACGCCCGCTGCTGCAGATTCTGCTGCGTCCCTGTCTCGTCTCCATTCCCAACCATACACGGATGGGCTATGTGTCCGCCCCAGATGCTGGCCGCACGGAGTACATACATGCAGACTATCCAATCACGGCGCAATCGCATTCGGCAACAGACGAAAGCGAGGCTTCTGCTGCCAGAGGAAACGACTTTGCCATGCGATGGCGGTGCAAAAGGGGGACATGGCGCTTGCCAAGACGTGCACGCGACCAGCATCCACCTATAGCAGACACTATTAAGGGTGCGCGCCCTACAGATACAGCATGTGTATCCGTCGTGAGAAACCTTCTAAGTGGTATAGCCACAGCAATCCGCTGGAGATGAAGAAATAAAAAGGGGGGCGAGAGGGATACGGCAAGCAGTGGGGGCAGTTCATGGCCCCCTTTATTGGTTCCTCTGGGGGATAATTAGTTGATAATTAGTTGATTAGCCTCCGCCCTCTCTGCGTCAATGCCGTCGACGATCCCGCTTGCACCTCGTCGGACAGCCTCCGTCCGAACTCGGCGATGCACGTGTCAGAGTCAGCGCTGCTGCGTGCCTGCCTGCTCAGGACCAAAAACCAAGGACGAATGCACGTAATTATACGAGTGTCCAACCATCCATCTACACATACTACCACGACAGTCATCTCTTCCCTTGCAGCGCAATGTCCGACGCCCTCTCGTGTGTGTAATGGACCTTGCTCTGGTGGGCATTGTTGGGCAACAATGCGGCCCGCCAGAAACTTACTTTGCGGCCATGATTCGTACTGTACAGTATAATTACTGGGTAATTACGTCTTGTTCAATTTCCAATGACCACCTTGCAATCATGTCATCCGCAAAGGCACTGTACGCGGCCTTGGCAAATGCTCGTCTTGGCAAGTGTGCGCGTGCGCAGTGCAGTCTTCCGAGCACTTGGGTAGGGTAGCCTCGCTTATCCCCCCTCTGCAGCACGCAGACGCACCGCTTGCAAAGGCATTTCCGTCTTTGTCGCGAGACGGCCCCCGAGAGCCAATGCCAGCTCGCCTCCAAGAGTGTCTTTGCGCACGGAGTACATGTTTCGTGTAACAATAAAATACGCATGCATCGCCACAAAGACGCAATCCTCATTTGAGGGCGACGTGGACTCTCTGCGCTGCGCGCCCAAAGCTTAATCTGTTTTCTCATCGTCGTCATGATTCTTGTCCAGAGGGTGCCCTCCTGGCGGCAGTGGCAACATGCACCGAGTAATCAGCATGCCAGCAACGCTGAAGCCTGAAACTTTGGCTGGTCAGGCCGCCTGGAGGGAGGGTCACGATGAACATCAAGACTACCTACCTACCTACCTACCTAGTAACAATACGTACCTAGCCAAAGGCGCGGTGTAGTCGACATGGCAGGGCCGCCGTCTGTCACGGACCGACGGGACTGACGCTCCCCTACTGACAACTGTATACATACATGTATACCGGTACGTTATACGCCTCGTATTGTCTAGACGGGTACCTACAGGTGCTGCTAGTCTTTGGATCCTCCACACGGAGAAAGGCACCGGAGACCGGAGCGAGCCCCGAAGCGTCGGATTGCACCGAGTCGTTCCTTGATAATAAAGACGAATGACCCATCCTAATAGATCGGCTGGACTTGCTAAGTGGGCAGATCATCGTGACTTGACTCATGTCCCGCCTCGGCCCTCCACGCCGGCCGACTCTCTAGTGCCTCTGCCCAGAATGCACCCTCATTCCGACCCCAGTGTCTGCCCCTCTTTTGGGGGGTGGCAATGTTGCATCCGTTGGTCGTCTAGTCGTCGAGGGGAGGAGGATTCCTCAACGAGGGCGGCCGACCAGAAAGGGAGATGGGGAGATAGGGGAGATAGGGGGGAGATGGGCAAACTATGGAAGAGAAAGAAAGCTCTGACGTCTTTGCTTGTCTCGAGACATTTACCCCATCAATAATTAGAACATTGTCCAACTACTCGAGGCCATTGAATCACCTACGACAGTACATGGTACGTCCCCAATGATACCCGCGTCATCAGCCTCTTTTGTTCAACCCATCACAGATTGCCTGATCGCATCTCGTCATCTGCATCTATGCCTTTTCCATTTTCGTGCTACAGAACACAAACACGTCCGTGTCCATGATTGGAGAAGCGCCCTCGTCACGGGCTGGGGTTGCAACTGCTCGCGTGCCGGCTGACATGTACGCCAATGGGAGCTGGACCGGCCCAGGCCGCCGTGGACCAGTGGATGCGCTGTCGTAGCTTTCGGCACGAAGCTCGAAACGGCAAAAGGCCCAGTGGCACCTACGTACAGCCAGCCGCTTGGCTTACCCTTGCATGCATGTGTAAGCACGCGCAAGCACCCCAAGGCATCGACCCCCAGTCTGGACCCCAGTCCGACCCCCAGTCCGCTGCAAGGCCATCGGACCATTGGCCGCCCAAACCCTTGTCCGGCGCCTCGTGATTCATCCCGCGGCGAGAACCAGCTCTTCGGTGGACATGCATCTGGCTGGTATCTGGTACAAGTAGTGGTTAGTGGCCGCCAGCAGCCAACACGCGAGCGAGCGTGTCTCGTCCCGAGGTCGAGCGCCCGAGTGGTGGCCGGACAAAGGCCGGGGTGCATCATGATGGCCGACCATTGGCTGCGAGGCTCTTGACCAAGCGAGGGCCCAGGCCTCGGACTGAACAGACTCTAGCCTGTTTGGTGCGTGTTTCAGGGCCGTGGGATGAAAATGGCGACTTGGCATTCACCATCTCCGTCCCCCGAGGACCCGTCCATTCTATATCAATGGCAATGACCCTCTGTCATGGCGATAACAGGGCGGGACGGGCATGCTATCATGGCGCTTACACATCCGGCTCCGGACAGAGGGGAAAGGGACCCGTAATTCCCGGCAACTCCAAGACCCGACGGATGCGTCATGGGCCCCCGTCATGGGCCCCCGTTCCCCCTCAGTCTTTTGCAGGTCGAGACGAGGAGGGGGCGCGCGGGCAACGGTTCATGGACCAACCAGTCGTGACGGCGACGAAGGCCCCTGAAAAAAAAAAGCCAAAATGTCCAAGCTGTCGCCCTCGCTCAAGGCCTTGATCAATGCGCCCTCCGCTCGGCCCGGGCCCGTGGGAGCGCCGCAAGGGATGCGGGACGTCTATGAGCGCATCGCCGCCGACGCCGCGCGCAAGAAGCTGGGCACGAGGCCGTGGCTGGCCATCTCGGTGCGTTGATGATGATGATGATGATGATGATGATGGTGATGATGATGACGATGATGAGTCATTGCATCCACGACTCGGCGGCCCGTCTGCTGACGCTCCGGTCCAAGGCCGCCGCCACCTTTACCCTCAACTCGCCCGACTCGCTGGCCATCCTGCACGGCGTCGCCTCGGCCGACAGGGGCATCGTGGCCGCGACGCAGACGGCCGAGCTGATGCGCGACGTCGGCCTCAAGTGCATCAGCTTCAACGGCATCCCGCGCACCATCAACTGCCTCAACGCCTTCCGCGCCGCCCTGCCGCCCGCCCTCGCCGCCGCCCTGTCCACGACGCCCGAGCGCGCCCTGACGCCGCACAACCTCGACGCCGTCCTCGCCCGCGGCCGCCGCCTCTTCGACTCCGTCTACGCGCCCCTCGCCGACAAGCTCGTCGACCGCCTCGCCCGCGCCCACCCGGACCTGCCCGTCCACATCCTCGCCAGCCACTACGCCCCGCTGCTGGCCGACCCGCCGCTGCCCCCGCCGTCCCCGGCTGCCGACGCCGTCGCCGCCGCGAGGACCGGTCGGTTGCTGACGTCGGCCGTCGCCGTGGCCTGTCTGCGTGCTCAGACGGGCGTTGGGCCCCAGGTTCTGTCCCACGTATACGGCCTGCGCAAGGCCGTCGACGATGGCTCCTGGAGGGCTGGTTGGGTCGGCGAGAGGCGGGACGAGGCTGACGAGGAGGAACTTGTGCGCTGGCTTGCCGGAGACGAGGGCAGCGAGTGGATATTGAAGACTGTCGACAGCATCGTCGAGGCCTTGGGGGGGAGTAGCTTTGCCGCCGGACCGGGGAGGCAGTCAAAACTGTAAAGGCAGATGAACAGCGGGGTGTTTATATCCGCGGCAGACAGGCTCAAGAAAGCTCCTGTCTCTACAAAGACCTGCCGGCTTCTCGGATCCTACATCGCTCGTCGCAGTCCATCCTCGCTGCATGAGCCGTGCCTTGCACGAAACCCACAAGTCCAATACGAGCATGACGCTTAGGTATATAACATGAACAATGCCCCCAGTCTATCCGTCTATCCCGTCCATGTCTAGTTCCGCGTTACACCCTCCCGAAAACGCTGACCCGAAAGAAAATTCACTCCATCGCCTCGACGCTATCCGCCACCGCAAACTTGGCCTCGGTCTTGCTTCGCACCTCGTCCACGCTCACGCCCGGCGCCAACTCCGTCAGTGTCAGGGTGCCGTTGTGGCGGTCGACCTGGAAGACGCACTGGTTTCCTGTCAGTGTCGAGGTCTGAAGGGGGGGGGGGCGAACGACATACCAGGTCGGTGATGATGGTGCTCACGCAACGGGCGCCCGTCAGGGGCAGGTTGCACTGCTGGACAATCTTGGACGAGCCGTTCTTGGCCACGTGCTCGGTCGCGACAATGATCTTGGTGTTGTCCGGGTTGGCCACCAGGTCCATGGCGCCGCCCATGCCCTTGAAGATCTTGCCGGGGATCATGAAGTTGGCCAGGTCGCCGGCGGCGCTGACCTGCAGGGCCTGTGTTTGAGCAATGTGTCAGTGGGCGGAGGTCAGATATCAAAGCCATCAAACGGGCCAACGGGAAACGAGGAACACACCCCCAGGATAGAAACGTCGACATGGCCGCCCCGAATCATGCCAAACGACTCGGACGAGTCAAAGCACGACGCCCCCGGCACCAGCGTCACCGTCTCCTTGCCAGCATTGACAATGTCGGCGTCGACCTCGTCCTTGGTCGGGTGCGGCCCCATGCCCAGGATGCCGTTCTCCGACTGGATCCAGACGGTGCGGCCGGCCGGGATAAACGTCGCCGCCAGCGTCGGGATGCCCACGCCCAAGTTGACGTAGTAGCCCTCCCTGAGCTCGCGCGACGCTCGTCGGGCGATGCGGTTGCGCCGCTGCTGCGCGGCACCGCCAGCGGCGTCGGCCTCGGCTGCGGCGTCGGCGGCCGGGTTGCGCGTCTTGAGCACCTCGATCCTCTTCTCCTCGGTGGCCGGCACCACGCGGTCGACGTAGATGCCCGGGAGGTCCACGGCGTTGGGGTGGATCTCGCCCACCTCGACAATGTTTTCCGCCTCGACGATGGTGAGCCGCGCCGCCTTGGCCATGAGCGGGCCAAACGCCTTGGTCGTGTACCTGCGATGCGATTGCGCGCGTCAGCTTCCGCCATGCTTCCCGCTGGCATGGGCTGGATTGTTGGACCAAGGGCAAAGAGGAGAGGCATCGTGACGTGTAAGTGGCGGCAACTCACCGGAACTGGCAGTTACCGGCCTTGTCGACCTTCCAGGCGCGCAGGATGGCCACGTCGCCCGTCAGAGCCGTCTCCATGAGAAACGTCCGGCCGTCAAACTCGCGCGTCTCGCGTATGCGGCCTGGCTCCAGGGCCTCGCCCTTGGGGTTCAGCCGGATCGGAATCTTGCCTTCTTGCAGGAGCGTGCCTGTCGTCTCCCGCCGTCAGCCATGACGTCCTTGCTTTGTAGTCTGCATCTGGCAGTGTGTTTGCCATGGAAAGAGAGAGATATAGCGCAACGTACGGGCTCCGGTGGGCGTGTAAAAGGCCGGGATCCCGGCACCGCCTGCGCGCAGGCGCTCGGCCAAGGTCCCCTGAGGACACAGCTCGATGGCGAGCTCGCCGCCGAGATATTTCTTCTCGAGCGCCTTGTTGTTGCCGAGGTACGACAGAACCAGCCGGTTGACCTGCCCGGCCTCGGTGAGGGTGGAGAGGCCGCCGAGGCCCTCCATGCCGGCGTTGTTGGACACGGCCGTCATCGAGTGCAGGGCGTTGGTGCCTCTTCGGTGGAGTGCTTGGATTAACGTCTCTGCGAACCCGCAAACCCCATGTTAGCTGAGATGGAAGCCCGTGTTTCTCAACCAGCTCCTCCACGGGCCAAGAGAGACAAAAAGGGCGGGTGAGAACGTGCCGGCAACACCGCACAGGCCGAAGCCGGAGCTGAGAAGAGTCGAGCCGCTCTGCACGTCGGCAACGGCGGCGTCGGCGTTGTCGAAGAGCTTGGAAACCCGCGTCAGCGGCTGAGAGCGCCTCGGTATCGTCGTGACGAAGCTCCTCGCCGCCCGGACGCATGGCGCCGTCGGGGCTTGCGCCAAGAGCAGCCTCGCCGGGGCGCCGCAGCCCGTCCGCCGGGGCAGGACGGGAGCGCGCAGTGTTCTCATCAGTGTCGCAGCCATGGGATGTGTCGCCAGTCTTGGTTCACATAGGACGCGTTGCAAAGGGTGTGAGCAGCGGGAAAGGGAGGAGAAGCCAAACTGCAGTGGATTCGTTCCACGCGGGCAAGAGTAACCAGGCGAGCCCCTGTAGTTATATGAAGCTGGATACCGGCTCTTATTTATATAGCGCACGTATATCCCAGTTTATATCGCGTCCAGAAAGGAAAACAAAAAAGTGGCGTGGTATCCCTTTTATTCATGACCTGGAGCTCCGCTCTCCACTGCCGCGGCGCATGAAATTCTGGTAGCCGGGCCCTGGCTGAGGGTCCGTTCGGCCGGGGGGCGGCCGGCTCGGTATGGCATCGGCCGGATCGGATGTGAGGGACGAATGCCGAACAATGCCGACGGCGTCCTCTGCTACGCTGGTCTTGCATCTTGTACCAGCCATATACTGTAGCATTGACTGTTTACTTTGTAGAATCACTTCATACTCGCGCTTGCACTCACAGTCCTGCTCCAGGTGTCCGGCCCATTGCACACCGTAGAGTGACGTCGATGATCGCCTCTGACGCTGCCGCATGGAGCATAACCTTGTCCAGTCGCCCGGGACGGACCGGCATTTGTGACTGGTCGACCTGGCCTCGCCGTGGAGCCCCTTTGCCCCTCGGCTGCCACGAGGGTAACACTGCAGCGTCTTTGCCAAGTCCCATCTTCGCACGCGGCAACCATGAGGGGAACACGAACCAGCTACCGGCTACAGACATGGACGGCAAGGCTGAGTTTGCCGAGCTCAGTGCGATGCGTGACCCGGCGACGGCCAGTCTGACCCGCAGCGTGCTCCTCAAGACGGATAGCCGGTGAGCCGCGTCCGAGCGCGGGCGTATGAGCTCAAGGACAAGCAAGACTTGAAGGCTCACTTTTTCCGCCAGCGTCTTGCCGGTGCTGGCACTGCTGTTCCTCTGCTCGTTCCTGGACAGGACAAATGTTGGAAATGCCCGCATCGTTGGTCTGGTCGAGGACCTCGGCATGACGGACCTGCAGTTTACCCAAGGCCTGGCCGTCTTCTATGCCACCTACATTTTCAGGTTCGTCAGATGCCTCCACTCTGGCTGCGGCCGTAAGCCCCCTCCCCCCCACATCCCTTCGAGCTGACACGGCAAACGTAAAGCGAGCTGCCGAGCAACCTGGTTCTCAAAAGGGTCTCGCCCCGGATATGGCTCCCCTGCCTGGCCGTGGCCTGGGGCCTCGTCACCATGTGTCTCGGCTTCGTGCGGGGCTTCGGCAGCTTCGTCGCCGTCCGGGCCATTCTCGGCGTGGCCGAGGGCGGCCTGCTGCCGGGCATGGTCCTCTATCTGTCGGGTCTCTACACGCGTGGGGAGCTGGCGCTGCGCATCGGCATCTTTTACACCGCCGCCTCTCTCTCGGGAGCCTTCGGAGGTATGCTTCCCTTGATCCGAGCCGTGCCGTCTGCCGGGCCCGGCTGCTGACGACACACACAGGCCTGCTTGCGCGAGGCTTATCGGCCATTGGCCCTCGAGGCGGTCTCGAGGGCTGGCGATGGATCTTTATCATCGAGGGGCTAATTGTCAGTCTTTTTCCTCCTCCCTCTTTCTCCTCCATCCCCCCTCTTACTTCCTTTTCTCCTCGACACGTTTATGGATGAAAGCCCGGCGCGGCGATTAACCGGTCGTTGCATATCAAGACAGTCGTTGCCGGCGCCATTGCCTTTGTCGGCCTTCCTAACAGCCCGGCCACGGCCCGCTACCTCACCCAAGAGGAGCGCGAGTGGGCGCTGAAGCGTCTGGCGGCGAACGAGGGCGGCCGGTTCAAGTGCGTCGTCCCAGAAGCAAAGCTATCAGCGAACAGCAGGCAGCTGACCGACGCTGTCTCTAGTCTTGCGAGCGAGAGAGAAGAGGGCTTCCGGTGGTCCGAAGTCGGCCGCGGCATCCGCAATGTCCAGGTCTGGCTCACGTCGACGGCATACTTTGCCATTCTTTCGGGACTCTACTCTTTCGGGCTCTTTGTACGTGATCCATCGCCGCGGCCTGGCTCCGGAGCCCGGCGACCAAAGTCTCGACGTGCTCCAGGCCATTGAATTGAACAGAACCGCCCGCTGACTGTCTCGCGTCCAGCTGCCGACCATTGTCAATGACCTCAATATCGCGTCGAACCCGAACACGGCCCAGCTCTGGACCGTCATTCCCTACGCAGTGGCCACACCAGTGACAGGCAAGCCTCCATCCCTGCGCTGCCGGTGGAGCCTCGAGGGCCGGCGCGAAGCTGACATGGAGCCGCAGTCGTCGTCGCTTTTCTCTCAGACCGCCTCAAGCTGCGAGGCACCCTCGTGCTGTTCGTTCTCCCCGTCGCAATCGCCGGCTACGCTGCCATGGCCAATGTCACGGGCGCGTCACCCCGGTTCGCCATGACGTGCCTCATGGCCATAGGGCTCTACGCCGCCGTCCCCTGCATCCTGGTCTGGAACTCCAACAACTCGGCCGGGCACTACAAGCGGGCCACCACGTCAGCAGTGCAGCTCGCCGTGGCCAACTGCGGAGGCTTTGTTGCTAGTGAGTGTTGCTCTTTGTGCGGCGAAGCTCTCATTCGCTGTTCGTGGCGGGAGGCCGAGAGTAGCCTGGCTGACCCAAGCGTGGGCGTACAGCCTTCGTCTATCCCAAGAGCGACGGGCCGCTCTATCACAGGGGCCATACGATCATTTTGGGCCTCCTTTGCTACGCTTGGGCTGCGTGAGTGGAACCCCTCCGCTAATTCCTTTACTCCCTGCCCTATGTACTGACGAACCATTCGTTGCAGGGTCTGGCTTAATGTCCTCTGGTGCGCCAAGATCAACCGCGGCAAGCAAAGGGGCGACTACGACGAGTACATAAACTGCGGTGACGACCGCGACCCCGGGTTCAGGATGATCCTTTGACTGAAGCCCATTCAACCTCGCGTTCATGCTGTCCAAGGTGTCGACGTGACATGCCTCATGGTCGTACACACTTGAGACTCTGGGACAATGGCAGGGCCGAGAGAATAATGCGAATAATTAGTTTATATGAAGGCATGTACAGGCTGGGAACAATCTCCATGCCGAAGAATATGACATTAGTGATTTGAACACGAACTCTTCCAGAATCGCCATCGCTCCAAGCCAAGGCGCTTTCGCCCGACCTGCCGCCAAGTTCCTCCGCCTTAATATTCGCCGACGGGGTCCTTGCAAAACAAGGCAAGACCGGCCTATGGAAAAGTGTTAGAGTCCTGGCTCGTCAGAGCAAAAGCTGACGGCAACATGGCGCTCACAAGAGGAATAGAGCAGCACTTGGGAGTCCTGCCCTTCGCAGCGCAGATCTTCGAGAACGGGGCTTCCAGACTTGGGGCTTCGGGGGCTAGGATTTCTCGTCAGTAGCTCCTCTTCCCTCCACCATTTGCTTCTCTCTATGAAGACAGAACGTGACGGAGAAGAGCAACGCGTACGGGAACGGCAGTCAAGGACGGCAACGTCCAGGACGCTGGCGGCGCAACATGATGGAATGGAAAAGCCGACGCTAACGCCGCAGGGGCCAAGCAAGGAACGAGACTCGATGTCGGGGGTGGGCACGGCCAGGGCCGATGTGAGGAGCGCGGCGACGGCGAAGAACTTCATCTTGAAATTGCTGCTGTATACTTGGGGGTATGTGAAAGATAAAAAACGAAAATCAGCCGAGAGCGAGTGACTGTATTGGACGGCGGCTTGTATCGACAATGAACGGAGTGCAATGCTTGACGGAGGACTGTTTGAGCAAGGACTTGCTTGAACTTGATATTTATAACCGAGGTGGTCGAGCTGAGTCCAGGGCCCTCGGCGGTGACGCTCCGGAAGAGCAGGGAACAGGCCGGCAAAACTCACCGTCCCGCTCTCTAACCGGCTAAGCCATGAAATAAGACTTTCGTGTGGCATTGTTACGACAAGCCACAGAAGCCATGGCTGTCTATGACACGGGATGGGCCGCCGTCTCCTGACCGTTGCTGCACGTGTCAAGGAGAGAGAGTTAGAACGGGGGAAGAAAGGGGCACCGCCAAGTAAAAGGCGTCCAAGGACTAATATCGGCTCGGGCAGCATTAAAAAACAGGCAGGCATTGACCTCCCGGTATAGATGCTATGGCGTCTATTAACTAGACAACGTATCTGAAGATGCGCCATGTTTTGAAAGCAGCGCTCCACGGTGTGGTGATCGACGATCCATGTCGTGGGATCAATCACCGGGAGAGAGTAGCATCGAAGTTCGGGAAGTGGGAGAACAAGGTAACAGTAAGAAGATAAGACAGTGGACAACGAAGATCAACAACTCTTGTTTGGAAAGATATGCGAGCCCTAGCGAAGCAGAGAACATACTGTTGACATGACGACGTCACGGCATGAGCCTTGGCTGCATCGGTGGAGAAGATCTGTCACCGTTTCGACCAATCAACATATTGAAGCCGGACATGCCTATTGTTGTATTATTCAGACCGAGGAGACGGCGCTCGAACAGAATGGCACTCAGCCAGCCGCCCCCTAGACCCTTTCCTGCGCCTCCTGCCCAGGCCGCGTCATCGTGACGGTTTTCAGTCTGCCAGGGAGTAAGGTTGAAGTCGAAAACTCATTTGGCGCGGTTGCCGGCCGTTGTTTCCCGACAGCGAGCGCGGCTGGCGGAGGCGGTAGGAGATGACGAGGATGACTGGGCCGTGTTGATGCCTATTCGCAGCACGATATGCTACTGTCGCCGCCAGGTGTTCGCGTTGTCTCGACGCCAACTTGATCTCCTCAGGCTTGATCCCCTTGTGGCCAGGGTGGTTTTCCATACCCAAGTATGGAAATACCCTTTCCATACTATGGCATGGACAGGGTATGGATATGGATCCATAGTATTTCAATGCTCAGTCAATAATTGGCCAAATTGCGCCACTGACCGGGACCCCTACAGCGCCATCGTCCAGGGGTCTGAGGGCCTTGAACCCCGCTAATTCCCACACAAACACAAATCGCTTTCCCACCACTTTGCACCAACGCGTCGGACGAATCAGTTGTCGAACTATGGATTCTGCAAGTGTGCTATCCTTCTTCGATGCTGAATCTATATTGTCGGACTCTACGACATCAAGATCTCGCAATACAAGAGGCAAAGCGGCTATCGCAACGTGGAAGCATGCTCGCGTTGCAGCAGAGGGGGAGGAAGAGTTTAAGGGCCGAAATCGTCTTCTCTATTGCAGCCATTGTCCCCAGACGAACCCGTACAGCACTTCAGTTACCACTAACTTTCGAAAACATCTGGAGGGTAAGCACGATATTCGAGTCGTGGAAGATTTGACTCCTCTTCAATCATCCATCTTTGAGGGGTTTGAGCAACTCTACCAGCAAGCACGGGAATTGGGCCACACAACGGAGATTGAGTCGGAGGTCTTCAAACGCTACCTGGACCAAGACAAGATAAACAAAGCCTTAGCTTGGCTGATCGTCGCACGAAACCTTCCTTATCGAATTGTCGAATCCCGCGAATTTCACCTCTTCATTTCGACCTTGAACCCGGTCGCGAAGGACCATCTCCCTTCCGCCCACTCGACTATTCCACGAATTATCGACAATCATTTCCAGTCGGCCAAGGATATCGTGCGAATGAAGCTCCAGTCAGCAAAATCCAAGGTTCACCTCTCGCTTGACATTTGGACGTCCCCCAATCGGCTCCTTCTTCTCGGAGTTTGCTCCCACTTTGTTGACCACGCACAAGAAGCACGACGGAAAGCTCTCCTTGCACTTCGGCCTGTGGCGAACCATTCCGGGAAGGAGCAATTCGTTACACTTCTACCCATCTTGCGGGACTTTGGTATTCTGCGACGCCTTGGAAGCATCGTTGGGGATAATTCGAGCACGAATGACACCTCTGCCGGGCAGTGAGCACGTATCTCAAGGAAGAGGGCGTCAAATGGGATCCTGAAGTTCACCGCCTCCGATGCCTAGGCCACGTTATCAACTTGGCAGTTCAAGCTTTCCTGTTCCAGAATTCTATTGACTTGAAAGAGGGCGAAATATGCGAAGACGCAGATGACCTGGCAAAGTTCAAAGGCAGCGCACCGAATTTCGCCGCCTTGGACCACTTGGTAAGCTCCACAACCTGGTTGTCAACATCCGGAGTTCATCAGGACGCAGTGGAGAGTTTATGGAACTCGCTGAGAGGGGCATTCCACTTGACAATCGTACGAGGTGGAATAGCTGGTATCAGATGCTGCATGTTGCCACTCAGCAGGAAACTGCCAGCGCTCTGGACACCTACACCAAGAATCATTTCGAAGATCTTTCTGCGGATTTTCTATTGCCGGAAGATTGGGCCCGGCTCCGAATAATTGAGAAGATCCTTCAACCGTTCGCCCGAGCGACATTAGCAACACAAGGGGATCATGCGACCCTGGACAAAGTGCTCTTCACGATGGACGTCTTGATCCGATGCTTTGATGAAGCCCTGGTACCATGCCTTCCATTCCTCTGATCTCCTTGTGCAAGCGCTGAGATGGTGCAATAGGTCACGTACAAATCAGACACCGAGCTGTCCTTTAGGATCAAACGAGGGTGGGAAGTCTTTGACAAATATTATAGCAAGACAGAAGCATCGCCCTATTATGCAGCTGCCTTGATCCTTCATCCCAGCTATCGCACAACATACATCCAGGCAAATTGGAAGAAGAAGTGGCAAAACCTGCGTTCAAACAGGTCAAAGACCTTTGGCTCACATACCGAGACACTGTGGATGGCTCCTCTCGCAACATTTACTAGATGACGATGATGACGAGGACCTTGACGCGTTTGATCGCATTTCAAGGAACCTGCAGAATTGCACTCGACCGTCAAGCCAGGACGAGTACGAAGATTACATTTCATGTGATCCGTACGACATTACGCCGACGACGGCCTTGTCATGGTGGCTTCAAGAGCAACAGAGAAAACGATGGCCCAAGCTATCACAAATGGCCATAGACATCCTATCAATGCCGGCGATGAGTGATGAACCTGAGCGGGTGTTCTCAGGGGCGCGTCGCACAATCTCATGGGAAAGAGCCCAATTGGACGCGAAACAAGTCGAAAAGGGAGAATGTTTAAAGCATTGGCTCAAGAACGATATCTTGCAAGGGGCCGAGGGTGGTGGCGGGTCCCCAGATTTTGGGTAAAATCCTGGCTCAACTTCTACGCCTGTTTCCTGCAAAAGGAGCAAATTTCTGCTTGGCATCCCCTTGACCGGTCGTCTGTCATTACGTTCACGTTAACTGTTCCTTGATTTTCATTGATTCATGTCGTGTTTGGCACGTTTTGCCGAGACCATATAGGTGAGCTGTTGCGGGATGCGCACGGACCAAGAATGGAAAGGTGTATTGCAATACTTGCAATAAATGTGGGGCGATACTCCAGTATGGATTGCACACCTTTCCATATATGGAAAACCACCCTGCTTGTGGCTCTGCCCGGATAGGATGAACCGGGTCTCTCGCTGTCGTCCCGATGCCAACATACTGAATTGCTTATTGGAATCCTGCCGTACGAGGCAAACACCTCGCTGCCGAGCAAGTCAAGTGCTTGGACACGTCACCACGGTATCGATTCAGCCTCCAAGTCCCCGTTTCTCTGCTTGATTTCCCCCGTCCGGACCGAGGCCATCGGGATTCCCGACAAGTCGTATATGATGAAGGCGCTTAAAGCCGATCGAGATTTGTGGCTTTGTGTCTTGGACTCATGAAGGGCCTCCACGAGATGGGCTGAGACAGGTTCGTCTGGCACAGCAGGACGTCAACCGTACCTTACTTGCCGGGAAGCGGATTTCCCTATACGTACTTTCATCCTCGTTACCGATTTACAGCCGACTATCCATCATTGGTACCGGTGGCCCCTTGTTATTTGACTGCATGAGAAGCACTTACTCCTCTCCCATGCTGGTTGCAAGGGTGCCTCGTGCCTTGCGCCACAGGCCCAAAGCGTCAGTATGGGCGGCGCTCCGCGTAGGATGACTGTATCATTGAAGCCATATTGAGAGCCTCAAGAAACAAATGGCAGGTCCACGGCTTGCACATGGGACCCAGGCAAAGTAGAAAATCAAAGCAGGCCAGCCCGCGATAGCCATGGCGAATGTTGGGCAGTAGCTTGAGATTTCCCGCACACACCTCGCGATCCTTACTGCATTTCAGGCACATATGTCATGAAGAGGGCTGGCTTCGACTTGGTGGATCACCCTTTCTTCTACGTTGTACTGGGGAATCATCACTTGCTAATGTCGCTTCATGTCTCCCGAACAAACCATCGGAGATTGCTGCCGGTGTCACGGGCTAGCCACCAATGTCACCATTGGTGACCTGGTCATTCTTTGTGAGAGGCGGAAGACGGAGGGGTTGAGATCTACCGGTGCTCCGTGCCTCGGCTATGCAGCCTTCAAGGGCAGCTATAATCTGGTTCTTCCAATTCATTGGTTCTCGGGAAGCAAGGTGCATTGCCCAGGAGTAAAAACAGCAAAAAAAGCAAAGACCAAGTGTCAGCTCAAGCCCTTGTCGAGTGCGGAGTAAGTTACGGAGTAGCTCGATCTCATCTCTCTCCACATCATGCCGCCTGATCCGAAGCTTCAACTCAGTGACCGCATCCCTTGGAGCGAGCCAGCTTGGTATGGCGCGCTGGCCTCGCCGTACTACAACAAGTCGCACCGCGAGCTCCGGGACAAGATCCGCCAGTACGTCGACGCCAATGTGCTGCCGTGGGCGCTCGACTGGGAGGAAAAGGGCGAGGCCCCGGCGGCAGAGGCTGTGAAGTTTGCCCAGTCTGGCATTCCCTTCGAGGACGTGCCGGACCGGTATCGGCCATCACACATCCCGCGGCTGGCCGGCGTTGGACGCGAGAAGCTGGATGCCTTTCACTTCCTCGTCGGCTCCGACGAGATGGCCCGCATTGAAGGCGGCGTCGCCGTTGCCCTGGCCGGCGCGTCTTCCATCGGGGCACCCCCCATCATCCACTACGGCACCGAGGAGCAAAAGGCGAGGTGGCTGCCGGGCCTCTTTTCTAGGGAGACGAGCTTCTGCCTCGGCGTGACGGAGCCCAGTGGCGGTTCCGACGTGGCCCGAATCAGGACCACGGCCAAGAGGTCCGCCGACGGCACGTTTTACACGGTCAACGGCGCCAAGAAATGGATCACGGGCTCTCCCTGGGCGACGCACATGACGACGGCGGTGCGGACGGGCGGCCCCGGGATCAGGGGCATCTCGATGCTCGTCATCCCCATGGACGCAGCAGGAGTCTTTGCGCAAAAGATTTACAACAGCGGACAAAACGCCGGCGGCTCGTCGCTTGTGCACCTTGAGAACGTGCGCGTCCCGGCCGAGAACCTCATTGGCGAGCAGGACCAAGGCTTCCCCATCATCATGAGGAACTTCAACAAGGAGCGCTTCATCCTGGCGGTCCAGTGCAACCGCAAGAGCCGGACCTGCCTGGCCCTCGCCTTCTCCTACGCCCTGCAGCGCGAGACGTTTGGCCAGGCCCTGATCCGGAACCAGGTGATTCGGCGGAAGCTGGCCGAGGTCGCGCACCGGGTCGAGGCGCACTGGGCCTGGCTCGAGCAGGTGGCCTTTCACGTGGACCGCTCGCCGCTGGGCTGGCAGAGCCCGGACATTGCGGGCCGCATCGCGCTTCTCAAGGTCCAGGGCGGCCAGATGGTGGAGCTGGCTGCCCGCGAGGCGCAACAAATCTTTGGCGGTGCCGGCTACCAGAAGGGAGGACCGGGGGCTACTGTCGAGCAGATTAGTCGCGACCTCCGCATGCTGGTGAGTCTCGCCTTTTCTCGCTCGCGCCCAGGCATGCGTGATGAAGGCCTGAGCGGGGACCGATAAGTAAATTGCTGACTGGGTACAGGTCGTTGGCGGCGGAAGCGAGGAGATTATCACGGACCTTGCCATAAGACAGGAACTGTCTTTGGCAAGCCAAGAGCCGAAACTCTAGCATGTTCCGCTACGATTGGAGTTGAGCGGGAGGCCAGGCGTAAAGGACGTGACATCCCTGCACAAGTCCTGATGGCCGAGTTGCTCACCCTGAGGAGCGACCTCGTTCGGCAATGGCATGTTGTTGGCGAGTTGGCAAGTTGGGTTCTGTCAGTGAGCTTCTTGAGAAGTAAGACTTTGTGCTGTTCTTTGTAGATTGTTCGTTCCTGTCGCCTGCAAAAAGAGGTTGGGCTCAGAGCTCAAAGAAGGATTGAACATGGAGCCCAGCGGTCCATCATCAACTAGGCTGTGTATTACCCGGAGCAAGTCAATCGTGTCGCAGCAGGCCCCTGCCTCCCATTTACTGCCCAGGTAGTGATGCTGCCCTGACCTCACCGCGTTACATCGGTGCTTCTGTTGATTTGCTGAGCCATAGGGTTAACTTCAATGATGTATGCAGGACAACGATAGTCAGTAACAAAGCGGCAAGGATGTCTTGAGGTAGACATTCTCCCTTGGCGGGAAGAAGTGGCACATTTGGGTGCGAGAAAGATGGTCGCCATCTTCGGCGAGACCGTCACTCGCCCACCCTCTGTGTACATTAATGGAGAAAACTCGTCCTGTTCAGCCTATGTGTCTCTAAGTGCATACGATTTTTGTAATGCCTTGGACAGTTGGTAATCGCGGAACTAGCAGGCACCGAGTGCCGACCAAACCTTGGAGAGCCAGCCTGGAGACGCGGCTAGTTTCGATATTCCCACGGCTCAAGGTGCGCCGACGCCGACGCCGAGCAAACGTCATTGTGCACAGGGGGAGCGAGCAGTGAGAATATCGGTTGCCCATGAAAGCGACGGCACGGATATGGCGGGTATTGCGCAGCTGACGGGGCCCCCGATGTCGGCAGTTGACATCCTCCCCCTTATTTTCCGCGGCATCGAGATATGATCTGCGGAAGGAATAGTTTGCGGTGACGAGACACGCTGCGTCTTCCGAATAGGACACGTAGTCGTGCGTTTTCTCTGTTGCTGGTGGCTATGAGGCCTTCTATTCCCATTCACACGCATTTTCACTTCGTTCCGTGGTGTACTTGCAGGCGGCTGCAGACTTCCACCTTTGTTACCCACCCTCGTTACCCACCCTTGCCTCCCCAGCCTCGGTTGATTTGCATCTTACTGTAGAGAGGAGGGGGGGAAGGGGGAGGGGTGTCTCATGTCTACCCACTTATCTCCGCTCCGCGGACCCTCAACGGACTTGGGCCCGGGCACCGATCCGCCATGACAAGCATTTTCCCCCATCTCAAGACCCACTCCGATACCAACGTGCCCGCCCTTCTGCTCCACGGGTTGACGAGTAAAGAGTGGGGGTGGGCTCCTCGTGGACCGCGGCCCGGATGCCGACCGGGGGCTGCCGGGCAAGGAGGGGCCCACCAAGCCGCGGCACGGAGCTGTGGGGAGTATTGGCCCTTTTTTCTTTGGCTGAGGCACGAGGTCCGTGGCGGGAGAACGGCAACTCCTACCGACTTCTTATGCAACTTGATATCATGTGGGCTATATTGCTGCCGAAGACTCCGTGCTTACAAGGCCCGCCCTGACAGCGATATATAAAGGCCCACGACGGCTGAGGAGCAAATCCAACTTGTTTCCTTTTCGGCTCAAGCCTCAAAGACTCATCTCAGCGACGCCTCATTGGCTTTACTCGGTTTCAACCTTGCAGCTCCTTTGAATACATCAACAACCCAAGTCTGCGGATCGCCGGTTCATTAAACCCACTTGACCCCGACTCCCCTCTTCGACCTCGTCCAAGAAAGCTTGCTCACCACAGACACCAAAACTACCCCTTGACCGACCCTGTCATGGCATCAGAAGACGAGCCAGCCTACGGCCGCCGGCTGCTCGTCAACGTTGTCGACGAAACCGCAGTCGCCGAACCATCTCGCCCCTTCGCGTACGCGCCTCTCTCAAGCAAGCCCGAGGATGGCTGGGAGCCCATCACCTTTCGGCAGGTCGCCAACGCCGTGAACCACGTTGCTCGCCTCGTCGCCGACACGGTAAAGGCCGACTCCAAGGACGGCGAGCCTTTCCCGACGCTGGCCTACGTCGGACCCAGCGATATCCGCTACGGCATTGTCATGCTGGCCTGCATCAAGGCCGGCCGCAAGGCTCTGTTTGTCTCGCCGCGCAACAGTACCGAGGGACAGCTGAGCCTGTTCGAGCGGACCCGCTGCGATCATCTCTGGTACGCCGAGTCGTTTGAGTCGCTTGTCCAGCCGTGGGTTGGGCAGCGGCCGATGAAGGCTACCGTAGTGCCGGCAGCCGAGGAATGGCTCAACTCCAACCCTGAACCGTTTCCCTACAGCCGGACATTCGAGGACGCTCGCTGGGACCCAATGGCGGTCCTTCATACAAGCGGCTCTACCGGCATCCCGAAGCCCATCGTCGTGCGCCAGGGCTCTCTGGCCATTGCCGACGGCCAGCGAACCCTGCCCGAGTACCATGGCTGCGACATTCTGTGGAAGCACTGGGAGAAAAACGCGACGAGAATGTTCATGCCCATGCCTTTGTTCCACGCGGCCGGCCTCAAGGCAGGCTTTATTCTCGCCGTCTACTACCGCATACCCATCGCGCTGGGGATGCCGAACCTGCCTCTCACCCCTGATCTCGCACTCAAGTGCCTGACTCACTCGGGCACCGATGCGGCCTTCTTGCCGCCTTCCCTAATCGAGGAGCTATCGCGGAGCTTCGAGGGTGTCAAGGCATTGAGAAACCTGAAGTTTCTGACTTTTGGTGGAGGTAAGCGCCCTCCCCGTCACACACGGGGTTTCCCACTGCTTCCATCAATGGGGTTTGCATTCGTTGGAGAGGGACTGACGATTTCAACACAGGCCGTTTGTCAGAATCCGTAGGGAATGCCCTTGCCCAGCAAGGCGTTACCCTCAACAACGTCATCGCCTCTACCGAGTGGGTTTTTCCATCGGCCCCTTAATGTCAGCTCGGCAACTAACCAAGGTCTAGACTGATGCCCTACGCAATCTACTACCAGAAAAGACAGGACTTGTGGCAGTACTTCATCATCAACAGCGACGTCATGGGGGCAGACTGGCGCTGCGTCGACCCAGACGAGGGCATCTACGAGCTATTCGTCCGCCGCAAGAATCCGCGAGACCCCGCCGGGCAGCCGCTCTTCTACACATTTCCCGAGCTGGACGAGTGGTCGACGGGCGACCTGTACAAGCCTCACCCGTCTCTGCCCGACCACTGGATCTACCACGGCCGCGGCGACGACGTCATCGTGTTCTCGACAGGGGAGAAGCTAAATCCCGTCACCATCGAAGGCACCGTCGCGGGCCACCCGGCCATCAAGGGCGCGCTGGTAGTCGGCCAGAATAGATTCCAGCCAGGCCTCATTCTCGAGCCGCACGTGGCGCCCAAGGACGACGCCGAGGCCAAGGCCCTCATCGACGACGTGTGGCCACTCGTCCAGGAGGCCAACAAGGCCTCTGTGGCCCACGGCCGCATCACCCGTCGTCTCATCACGCTCTCGGATCCAAACCTCCCCTTCCAGCGCGCAGGCAAGGGCACCATCCAGCGGGGCGTGACCCTCAAGGCGTACAAGTCGGCTATAGACGTCCTGTACGAGCACGCCGACGACCCAGACGCGCAGGAATCCGTCCCGCTCGACTTTGGGAGCGAGGAAGCACTGACGCAATCCATCGTGGCCCTGTTCGCCACCAACGTTGGCGCCCGAGACGTGCAGTCGGACACGGACTTTTTCTCAGTCGGCGTCGACTCGCAGCAGGTCATGAGCGTCTCCAACATCCTGCGAAGCAGCGCCAAGTCGGCGGGCGTCTCCATCTCCCGTGACGCCCTGGCCCCGCGTGTCATCTACGCAAACCCGACTCCGAGAAGCCTGGCAGCCCATCTCCTTGCCGAGGCCCAGGGCGACGGCTCAGGAAGCGGCGAAGTAGCGCGCGAGATTGAGAAGACAAAGAGCCTTGTGGAAAAGTACACCAAGGATCTGCCTGCCCCCGCCTCCGCCGACAAGCCGGATCCCCTGGATGAGGGTCAGACGGTCCTGCTGACGGGTAGCACCGGCTCGCTCGGAGCGTATCTGCTCGACGGCCTCTGCACGTCCGCGCATGTCAAGCGCGTCATTGCCATGAACCGCGGTGCTGACGGCGGTGCATCGCGCCAGGGTTCTATCAGCGCCGCCCGCGGCCTCGGCACCGACTTCTCCAAGGTCGAGTTTGTCGGCGTCGATCTGTCGCTGCCGGACCTCGGACTCGGCCCGGCCAAGTACGCCGAGCTCCTGACCTCGGCGGACCGCATCATCCACAACGCGTGGCCCGTCAATTTTAACATCAGCGTCGCCTCCTTCGAGCCGCACATCCGCGGGGTGCGCCGCCTTGTCGACTTTGCCAGCGCCGCAGCGAAGCGCGTCTCCATCATCTTCATCTCGAGCGTCAGCACTGCGGCGGCCTGGACGTCGCCGGACCCGGTCCCGGAGCGTAGCCTCGATGACATGGCGATGGCTGAGATGGGCTACGGCCGCTCCAAGATGGCCGGCAGCATGATCCTGGACGCGGCGGCGGCCCGTTCCGGGGTCCCCGCGGCTTCGGTCCGGGTGGGGCAAGTGGCGGGTCCACGCGGCCTCAAGGGCATGTGGAACAAGCAGGAGTATCTCCCGTCTCTTATCGCCAGCTCCGTCTACCTTGGTGTGCTCCCGGATAGCCTGGGGTCCGGCGGAGTGGTGGACTGGACGCCCGTCGAGGACATTGCCGGGCTCGTCCTTGACGTCTCTGGCGTTACCGTCAGGCAGCCCATCTCCGCTATCAGCGGCTACTTTCACGGCGTCAACCCAGCCAAGACGACTTGGGGCGTGTTGGCACCCGTGCTGGCGCAGTACTATCAAGGCCGCATCAGGAAGCTCGTCGGCATGGGCGAATGGGTCGATGCCCTCAGGGCCAGCGAGAGCGCGAGCGCAGACGTGGACAAGAACCCGGCCATCAAGCTGTTGGACACATACGAGGCAATGTATCAGGCGTCCGAGGCAGGACAGGGCCATGTCGACTTTGACATGACGAGGACCGTGAGCCACAGCCCGACGGCGGCGAACCTGAGCGCCGTGACCGTGGACTTGGTGAAAAACTGGTGTGCGCAGTGGAATTTCTGACCCGACATTTATTGTATCATTGTGCCTAAGAGATCCTCCGCATTTGAGGCAGCGTGTTTATATCCTTCGTTATAGAGTTTGGCATTTAGAAGCATCTTAATATACCGGTGTCAGTTCTTTTCGTGGAGTGGCAAGCATAGCCCTCCGTGCATCAGCCTTCACCCCCTGGAACCTCATCCCTTGGTCTCCCAGCGGCACAATGACGCTGTAGCTCATGGGACTGCCTCGTGGCTGCACCCCCGTCGTCAGCAGTAAAGGCGTCATCTCGCCATCATCGGAAAAGAACAGCTGCGGCCTCTCCCTGCGGTAAAAGTCGACGCGGGTGCCATCATCGTACTCGACCTCGGTGCTGAACGCCAGCGTCTTGCTCCCAAACGTCCACGGGCCCGTATAGTTGTGCACCCAAGCGTGACGCCCGACCTTGGGGCCGTTCCCAAACCCGCCCCCTGGCTCGAGCGAGTGCAGGAGCATGTGAAAGTGCCCGCGCTTGTCCCGCCACAGGAACGGATCCTCGCCAGGGTTTTCCAGGAGAGGCTGCGACTGGATCTTGGTGTAGGGGCCCTTGTAGCCCGCGCTGGAAATGGCCATGTTGATCAGCTCGGTCCCGAGGCAGTTGTACGAACAGCCGCGGTATGCCAGCAGCACGGCTGGCGTGTCATGATCGTGGCAATTTCCGCAGCGCCGGCGGTGGCCCGAGTGCAAGGGGAAGGCTGACGGGTTCGTGACGGTGGCGTCCCAGGTGTTGGAGTCTTGCCCTCTCAGGACCTGGCCTTCGGGCCGCCAGTGTCGCAGATCCCGACTTGTCGAGACCGAGATGCCGCTCTCGCCATTGTTGGCGTTTCCGGGCCCGCATGTAAGCCTTCTCCCAAGGCAACGGCCTGCATCGACGTCAACACGGCAGCCAATGTAGTACATCAGCCAGCGCTCGTCAGCCGGGCTGTAGACGACCGTCGGGTTGTGGGAAAAGGTGCCGTGGATCTCGGCGGCAAAGGCGTAGGGGCCCGCGGGACCAGAGCGCGACTCTGCGCGGACGATGCGGCTGTACGGAGCCCAGTAGTCGAGGCCGCAGCCGTGCGTAAACTCAGCAGCGAAGAGGTGGTGCAGACCTGGATCCCACGGATCCCGGACAATGGTCGAGCCCCAGGAAGACGTGCCGCGGGCGGTCAGATTGTATCCGGCTGTTCGTTTGGCCGGACGCACGTCGAGGACGCCGCAGTCTGAGGCCTTCCATCCCGCATCGCAGTGACAGATGGCCTCGCGACACATGCCGTTGAGGCTGCAGTCGCTGTCGGTGGAGCAGGCCTGGTCAGAGGACGCGAGGACGCCGAGAAGCAGCGAGAGTAAGACCGTCAGTGTAAAGGGCATCTTGACGCCGTTGCTGGAGTCGATGAGCGTCGACGGCTTGGCGGCCCTGCAGCGGACCGAGCCCTTTATTTACCCCGGCAGCCAACCCGATGCGGGGACACACGTAGTGTTGCATCGATGCCATTGTGCCTCCCGATCAAGTGTGCTTTGGCGAGCAACCGTAATGGATGGCGAGGAGGGAGGAGGGAACCGGACATCGGGCGGTATATGACTGGAAAGCATCGGAAACCGAGACGAGGGGCTTGGCACCAGCTGGGGCGGCATTGGGCTCGAGCCGCCAACCAGTGTCGTCTTGTCGGGGTAAAGCTGCGTCTCCTTTCCTGCGCCATGGGGAGGCGGATGGTGTGTGAGAGCCAATGCAAGAATTTTGCCAATCAAGGCACTCGCATGACGTGGAAACGGGCGTGAGGGAGCCATTCGACAGTCTGATACGCCCGTCATCAGAACTCATGGTGCCGTTGAGGCTATACGTATTAGGCGTATCAGACGGACAATTCATATGCACTACTACATTAAGCTTGAGCTACTTCCCCTTGGCTTGTGGTGCCGTGATCTCAACGAGAAACTGGCTCGCACCGACTGACGCTGAGGGGCTGTGAACTTGACGCTCCACCCTTATTCTAGAGTCCACCAGCAAGACGACTGTGATAAAAGAACTGCTCGGCTTTAGGAAAGATGACAGATGACGGCACACCAGCGTCCCTAAGAAGCTAGGTGCCCTTGTTGAATTTTGAAACTTCTAGGTTCTGCTAACGCCTTAGAGAGGGAGCCGAGTTCTTATAAGCATGCAATGATCTAGGATAGCATCCCACTTACTAGACTTAAAATACCTATAGGTATTTGCTTATAGGCTACCTATACCTACCTACGGGCTATTTTATAGCTACTATAAATACGTAGTAGATAGGTAAATTTAAAATAGGTACCTAAAATATATATAGGTATATTTAAGCTACCTATAGGTATTACCTACTTAGTTTTATTATACTAATTATTTATATTTATCTAAAGTACTTATAAATTATATAAAAGCTATATAGCTAAAAGTAGTATTAAATTAAAAGGTAAGATCCTATAAATATTATTTATCTTTTACCTTAACTATTCTTTTAATATTTAAAGTTGTAGGAATGTATCTATCTAGTGGTGTGACCAACCATGGTTGGCACGTGACCCGTACGGTCACGTGTGCGGCTGAGGGCAGCGTGCCCCCTTTCTCCACGCTGGCCTCTGCCTCCTTAGATAGAGAATCAAGACGAATACAACATCACAGGCTAACCCTAGTACCGTCTCATTGCAGCAGCTGCCGCAGGTGCCTACCCACACTGATCAGTGACCGGCCCACGCCCGTCACAGACAGCTAAGTAGAAGAGACAAATTCCTCAACCTTCGAAGGTGCTATAGTCCGCGTCACTTTACTGTGGCCCTGAGTAGCGCTCAGAAGAAGGTTATTTGTGCTAAGAACAAGGAATCTCCCGCTGGTTTGCCCAGCCGCGCGAGAGTCCTTCCAACTGTTGATTACGATCGCCCGCTAGTTTGCCTAGCCGTGAGCACCGGAATCGACAGGCGACCACATCGCAAACAACTAGTAAGAACGTTCGACCCTTGACGTTAAGTAGCAAGATCCCCGTCAGTTCAGTCTGGCCGCGAACGACCTACTTAGTACGCGACGCTCGACCTCCTATTAGCGACAACTCGTATACGAAGAGACCAATACGAACCCCACATCGTCTCATTCATTTGATCACGATAGCCCTGACCGCCCGAGCTATGTCCCCAGAAGCCCAGCTCGAAGAAATATGCGACCAGATGCAGGCACTAGACATCCAAGCATCCGCATTCCGACAAATTAATATCGACCTTTGGGACAACGATATCACACACGACGAAAAGGACAAGATCGCAGTAACGACATATGTGGCAAAGTTCATATTCATCGTTCAATCTGGCAGTGATCAAGGATACGACCTCCTTGGTTACTTCCAACAGCATTTTGAAGAATGGACCGAAGACACATGGGACCGCGCCCCGAATGAATACAAGAGAGCCCTCAGAAACTACTAAGGAAAAGAGGTATCTACACAGGTTCACAAAGGGGAAATTCGCAACACAATTTCTCATATTACAAACTATCGAGAACCCACAAACCTGGCCAGAGCAGGAGTTTACGGAGATGGTGTTTGATGAGAGGACTGCTGCCTTCAGGAGGCAGACAGCATTACTAGGATCAAATGCTTCCACTAATCCCCATCCGTCTCAACCTCCTTCACCATCAGTTACGCCCTTAGCAGCACCTCATCAAGGTCTTAACGAACCACAACCTATTAAGACCCTAACGAGCCCTCCTAACGCACCTACTCCTGCTCCGACTATCCAAGATAAACCTGCTCCGACCTCTCTTACTATTCATCCGACTTCCTACCGCTTCCAGAACCCCGATCTCGTCCAACCCGTCACCAACCCCATCCCCGAACACTTATCCGGCCCTGCAACCTTTGGAGAATACATGAAACTCCCCCCGGATAACATCCCGAACGCTATCGTCGATAGCGACATCCAGCAGAAGTTTATGAAGACCTGGAACAAAGATCGGAACTACACAGGAGAGCCGTACGATCTCCTTGATGATAAGCTCCGCCTCTTCTTAAGCAACTGCTCTCATATCCAAGTGAAACCGTCACAATTTCACGCACTCTTTCCCCGGATCCTTGATGGAAGAGCCCAAAGATTCTATCTTGATAAGATCACATGGGCTACGACGTTCCGACAAGCGTATGATATCTTCAAACAACACTTTGACACGGAAGTCAACCATGTCCACTACCATACTGACTGGACAACAATAACCTTTAACTCCATCCGTGCCCAAGATGCTTCGAAGACCCCCCACGAAGTGCTTCAAATCCTCTTTGATAAGCTTCAGCTCTGCCAACGAGCCCTTGGCAGGGAGTACGCAGGAGACCTCCAACTGCGTACAACGCTTATGAAAGCATGCCGTGAGTACCCGACCTCCAATACGTTCTTTTCAAACCCGCCGATAACGTCGAGCACCTTCTTGCAGATCTTCGTGCATCCGTTGAAACCCATCTTGCCCTCATAACAACTTCTCAATTTCCCTTGACTTTGCTGGATCATTTGATCATAACGATCCACACCATCAGTACTACCTCGACCGTCGATACAATAACAACCGCTCTCGAGGTAGATACGGATATTCAGGTCAACGACCCAGCCGCGGATACAGACAAAGCTACAACCGTGAAACTACCGGCCTCAAAGCCGTAGTAACTACAATCATAGCTACAGTAACCGAAACTGGACGAAGAAGTGTTTTGTTTGTGGACAAGAAGGCTGTTGGTCAACTAAACACTCTACGGATGAACGGCAAAAGGCCAAGGACCAACATATCACTCAATGTCACTTCATAGGTGTACAACTCACGGACATCGGAGGCTATATTCTAGACTACGAAGGTCATGAGATGAGCAGCTTTGATGACACTGAAGATACATGGGAAGAACATGACAATAGCACCAACGATCACCCGGAACAATGGCAAGCAAGCCAAATGCTCTGTCAACAGGCATTCAATCATTTGATCACAGGAGAAGACGTCTATCAGACGGATCAAACCGTTGTTCCAGCCTCGCAATTTATTATTGAAGATCGCTATTCAAGGGATAGATTCCAAGGTATCATGATCGACACAGGTGCAGCAACATTTTCCACAGCAGGATACTCTCAGTACATCGCCCTACAACGAGAAGACCCTTCTGTAGCTCTCGACAGCTCCACATCCGGCCAGGCCTCCATCAAATTCGGCAACAGCGACGCCATCCACTCCTCGGCACAGTCGCCCTTAACACACCCCTCGGAAGGATCACGTTCCACGTCCTTCAAACCCCAACTCCCTTTTTGCTCTGCCTTGCTGATATGGACCGGCTTGGTATCTATTTCAACAACATCACAGATACCATCAATTGTACTAATCATTGTACTAATCGCCCTACAAGCATTCCAGTCGTACGCAAATGGGGACATCCCTGGTTCTTCCTTACGAAAGATGAAGAGTCCATCTCGTTTCTTACGGAAACAGAGATTCGTACACTTCACCGACGCTTTGGACACCCAGCAGTCCCTAGGCTCCATCACCTCTTGAAGCAAGCCGGGCACAGTGACGTCTCGATAGACACATTAGAGACTATCTCTAAGTTCTGTCACCACTGTCAAATGCACTCACAAGCCCCACGCCGCTTCAAGTTCACCCTTAACGATGATCAAGAGTTCAACTACGAAATCATCGTTGATGTGATGCACCTAGGAACACCACAACGCCCTGTTCTACACGTTGTGGACTCAGCTACTGCTTTCAAGGAGCCAGATTTTTACCGTCAATGTCAGCTAAAGATACATGGGAGACCCTCCGGACCCTCTGGATCGACACGTATCTTGGACCTCCTGATACCCTCCGTCATGATGCAGGAACTAACTTTGCTTCTCTCGAATTCCGGAACGAAGCAAAGATTATGGGAATCAAATGCTCTCAAGTACCTGTTGAGACGCATTGGTCCATTGGAAAGATTGAACGCTATCACGCACCCCTCCGACGCGCCTTTAACATCCTCCATGCTGAGATTGGCCACACCACTTCCGCCGAAACAGTCCTTCAAATGGCTGTTAAAGCAATCAATGATACGGCAGGACCTGACGGTCTTGTGCCTACGTTGCTTGTTTTCGGCGCATACCCTCGCGTATCTACAGACTCGCCCCTTCCGCTTCTACCCTCAAAAGATCGGAAGCTATGCAGAAAGCGATGAAAATGCTCCGCCAACTCTCGGCAGAAAGACGAGTTAAGGATGCCCTCCATGCACGCAACGGCCCGAGCACGACAGAAGTGCTATCCTCCCGCTGCAAAGTGAAGTTCGCGTTTGGAGAGAAAGACGGTTGGCAAGGACCCTTCAAGATTGCATCGATTGATACCCATAACATCACCATTGACA